TAGTGTAACTTGATTTTTGCGTGAATCCGTACAACAGAACTCGTGTGGGGATTGCTCCCAGTAACTTGCAGGATTAAGACAGTACCTTGCTCGTTCTTAGGGAACATGTGTATGACCCTCCTCCGTTTTTTGTTTTTTTTTGTGGTTGGCTGGTTGGTTTATTCAGTGTATACTAAAACCACAAGATTCAACAGTTTTTCGCCTGCCGGTGTTGACGCGAGGGTCCAAGTCACCATAAGGTACCAGATCTCCTTAGTCAGGGAGATTTGTGCGAGGGCTTCGCGTTGTACATTTCACAGGTGCAGGCGTCATTCAATGCGGGAATGCACTAGTTGTGGCAGTTGATTTTGTTCCACTGCTGGACTGCTTGACTGTGGGTGTTATGGATCAGTTTGACCTCATGCTGTTGGATGATGATTTGCCAGCTCCGTCGAGTGTGCCTACACCATGGCACCTGAGGTAGGCCCTTCAATTCTTTTTCAGGCTTGCGTAGGGCAAAGGCGATCCAAAATAGACTCTGAACAGAACAGAATCAAACAAAAAATCAGTGTTTTTCTTGCGTGTATCTCATTGGGCCCTGCGTTTTTTTGTTTGGTTCCCCCCTCAGCCTTTTTTTGGTTCCCCCACCCCCCCGTTCTTTTCGTTCCCCCCCACCCCCCCCTTGTTTTTTGGTTCCCCCCATACCCCCGCCCCCCCGCTCGGTTTTTTTCGGCCTCCGCAGCGAGGCGCGGAAGCTGCGCTCCGGGATGGCGCCGAGCTCAGTCGATGGGCCGCTTCGGCTCGGGGATGAGTCATGGGACCCGAAGGGAAGGACCACCTTCCAAGGAATGGGTGGGTTTCACCCAGGGAAGGGGGGAAATCTTCCTGCAAGTTCATCTCCACTTCTTTGGCGCGTTTCGCCAAGGGATGTTGGGACTTGAACTTTCTGCCAACTAATGGGGTTTCCGTATCAAACCACTAAAAGTTAGTCAGTTTTAGCAGGGGAGCAGAAAGCAACCGAGCAAGGAACGGGTGGGTTTCACCCAGGGAAGGGGGGAATCTCTTTGGCAAATTTATCCCCACTTTTTCTGGAAAGCCAAGGGACCTCAGTGTTGTGGAGTGCTTGGACCTCACGAGCTGGTGGCGAATCCATCAGCAAGATCCTTATGAGGGGCGGTGCTGGCGTCCCACTTGTGGTGTCCGACTGCGGATTAGGATCTCGGATCCCTATTGAGCCAGACAAGGCCCTTAGGGGGGCACACTAGCCTCAGGCTCCATGAAGATTACTATGTGGTTGCGAGATACCTGGTTTCAGGTTGGCGTATTATTGTCGTGCCACCAGGACACCATGTCGCCTGCTGGACACCCTGTGCTCGCGGTTTCCAACACCACGGGAAGGCCCCTTGTAGAGGAAGCTGGTTTCCTTGCTCCAGTGAGGTTCCAGGCTAGTTGGTCCCAGCGTATTCCAGCTTTTTCCATGACCCTTACATTGGGGGGACATGCCGAAAATCAAGCCGGTGTTGAGGCATGTCCCCATACTTTTATGGTCATGACGGCTCCTTGTACTCCACGCTTGCACCAAGGTGATGATCAACGACACAGGCTGTGCCCGCCTAAGGGCACGTTTTCTTTTAAGGGGGCTCGCGGTACAGTACCATCAAAATCGCGACCATGTCAGTTGGGATGAACAAGTAGGAAAAGGCAAGCGTGTGAATTGGTTCGACAGCTTTACAGTAGTGACCGTTTTAGAAAAGGTGGCGCAGCGGGTCCCGTCGCACCAACTACTGTATCAAGGTAATACAGGCCCCATTTTCTTGCATCTTGGCCTTTGTTTGGCTAGAAGCTTATAATCCGATATAGGGCCATGTCACCATAATATCTCACCACGTCCCGTGCCCCGAGTCCTGCCCGACGCTCCCTTCGGGGGCTACAAGCAGAGTGGTGTTGGGCTCAGAGTCGAGCCGAGTTTCGGAAACTGATTTCCCGAAGTCGAAGCCTTCATATGTCGAGGTGGGTGTGGGTCAATATTAAAACACTAGGAATCGGACCGCAGATTTGAGTCCATGGTTCCATTTACCAGGGCAGCCCATTTTGGGCACCTATTCTTGACCCACAGCCCGGTGTATCTTTCACCTGTCCCATTTCGTTGGTCGTCTCGGAACGAAGGCAATGCGCGCGAGTGGGGCACCATGGGCTTGGAGGAGTACCTGGTGACAAAGACCATTGCTGGAAAGCCTCCCTCCAAGCTGTAGACGTCGCGAAGCCGAGCCGAGCGGCCGAGCGGCCGAGCGCGTGCGTTCTGGCCGCGGCGGGTGCCAGGGTGTTGATTGCGGGCCGTAAAAAATAGGACATGGACTTGGCACCCCCCCAACTCAAAACAAGGAGCAAGAGTAAGGCGGCCTTCCCGTGGAAATCTTGTTTTTAAGAAATCCCGGAGAATCCTTGGAAAATGCCAGCACCACATTCATTGCGGCTGGTGGCATTTGGCGAGAGAAGAGGATGAGGAGTCAGGACAGCTCGAGAGCAAACATGGGAAACACATGGAGAGCTGTTTCTAGGACCTCTTTCAGCATCCCTTTGCATAATAGAGTTGTACCCAAATATGGACCAGACTCCAAACAGGTCAGTGTTGTTGAGCTGACCCACCTTCTTTCCACAGTCCAAGCCAAAGTCCATCAAACCAGCATCCCTCCTGAAAAAGGTATCCCGCATGCCCGCATCGCCAGCATCCCGATCCCGAATCGACGGGTTCAGGGCTCCCGAATCGACGAATTCGGGGCAACAGCTGAGGTAGGCTTCAAAAAAGCTTAAGCGAGTCGCCCTTCCAGGTGGAAAGGCCTTCAAAATCACCTGGGCTTCATGGATTCCAGTCCTATTTTGGACATGCCTGGTCTCTTCAAGGTCAGCTTGCTGGGAGGCGTGCTCAATTTGGCCCCTGCCATTGGCATGGGCCGCTTTAGAGGCGCCAGCTAGGCCTGAAGGATGCCACGGATGCCCGCAAATGGAAAAAACCCGCCCGCGCTGCCCATTCCTGGTGTGTGGCGGCGTGCTTATGTGGTTGGGACTGGGGCTCCAGGAAGCCAGTACCTTGGAAGAGGTTGCAGTTGCGCTTGGAAGCATTTTCTCATGTTTTCCAGGCTGGATTCCCACAGAAAAGCCTCGCATCGCCAGGATCTGCCCAAACTCAAGGCTCGGGCGGAACGGGAGGAAAGATGCAGAAAGGAACACGTTTTGATCCCTTTGCTTGGCCAAGGTGCTTGTAAGTTCAATCAAACTCCGAAAATACCAGTCCAGAAAATTCAGGAAAGATGGGCTTGATGTTGGTTGGAGGAAAGCTATGAAAGCCTATGAAATCCGGGCTGCCACCCGGCGTGGATTATGTTGATCCGAGTGCCTGTCCAATTCGAGCCAGGGAGGCGATTACGTTCTAAACAGGGGTAAGTGTCGAAGGGATTTGGATGCACCGAATGGTGATACCCCAAACAAGTAAACAGACACACACGCACACACACACACACACTGATCGCGACTTTGATTCGTTGATTCCCAAGCTGTCTTTGCCAATGCCACCCCACTTTCCGGGGGTGTTGTTGCGGATTTATGGGAACGAAACGACTTGCATGTATGGCAGTTCTCGTCTCTTGGCATCCTTTTCGTTGGCATCCTTTTCAAACCTTGGCTGAATGGTGTCCCTTCGGCCTTCCACCACCATACAAGCGCACATGCCCCTCTCCGAAGAGTTGCTCTCTGTGCGAGAACAAGCTTCTGCTTCCTTGTTGGCGCTTGTTGCCTTTTGGTTTGCCCAACAAACACCGAATCTTGATTTGGTTGATTTCGTGTGTGTGTGTGTGTCTCTTTGTGTGTGTGTGTGTGTGTCTCTTTGTGTGTGTGTGTGTGTGTCTGTGTGTCTCTGTGTCTCTGTGTCTCTGTGTCTGTGTGTGTGTGTGTGTGTTTGAGGGCGCCGGCCTGTTTCAGAGAAACCCATGGGATTGACACCTTCCATTTTGGGTGCAGCTGTTTTCGACGCAAGTTCGACTCCAGGCCGACGAGCGCTTCAGGGAGCACCCATTTGTGCTCTTCGTGGAGCGACGGATCGAGTGGCTCCGCAAACTCTACGACACCAAGGCGTAGCGGTGCAGCTTGTTGGGCGCGAGGGCAGGATGGTTCGGGGGATACCGGTACTTCCATTTGCTTAAGAATACATTTAATTGTCGCCTGCTGGTCTTAAGGGGAATCTATCCCCTCTGTTTTGTATTTCCTTTCTATTTTTTCGAGGGGGCTTAAGCACCCTGATGGCCACTTTATCAAGGAAACCCGACCTTTTCCATTTTTGCTGCAGATCAACATGGGGCCGAAGAAGGTCTCCTTGAGCTGCAACCATTTCTGGGGTCGTTTACTTGCAAAAAATCCAATCACACAGCTCCTCTTTTCCAGCCGCCTCCGCAGAATTCACTCGAACACCATCATGTTCCATCTGTGCAACGGGCACCATCCTGTTCCACACATCTGTGTGCAAAGTAGCGCTCTCACATTTCACCCGCAATGAACAGCTGTAGGCTTCCTTGAAATAAACCTCGATATTGAAACTGCATTATAAGCTTGTACCACTTGAAGCGCAGAATCTACTTGGATGTTCAATCAAGCAGTTCAATGTCCATGGGAAAGTGACGGCACGGCCGGATATTCCCGTTTGGCGCTTTAAAGCCAGGGCTGGCCTTTTGACCTGCAAAAGATACCTGGGACCCCCGAATTTATTTGGTAGCCATTCTTAAACCTTTTTCCCCTGGGTCATAAATTGGGGCTGGCCTTAATAAAACGGCCAGTGGGCTGTCCTTGATAACAGCCATTGGAGCTGGCCTTGATCGGAGAAGGGCCGATTTGGAAGCCCAGTGTGGCGAGAACGCGAGCGAGGACACCGAAAGGAAGGCCTTGACTTGAGCTTTTTCGAGCTGGGGCAAAGGAGGCCCAGGGATGAGACAGTTGAGGTGCATGGTGAGGGAACAAGAGGGGAGTCTACAGGAGAAGGGATTTTTCACAAAGTTCAGTGGTTTTATTCCGAAACATGTGGAGGAACATGTTGAGGGTCCATCTGCATGGTTCGATCAACAGGATTTGGGCCATGGAGGGGCTGCTGTGGCACACGCTCAAAACACCATTAGGCAATGTGGCTTACTCACCCCAAACCCATGTCAGTTGGGGACACAGCCAGTTTGACTTATATGCCTGGGAGCATCCACTTTAGAGACCCTGGAATGGAACTGGCCCGTCCTTGCGTTTCCACCCTATCCGGGCTCACTTTTTGTTCGACCCTGCATGCCGCGTGCTGTGGTGCTTGTTCGTTCTAGTGCAGGGATCCCCTACCTCGCACTCACTATTGCAAGGCTCCCCTAGCGAGACCCGGTTTTCGGAAAGGAGAAGAAACAGAGCAACCGTCAACAGTTGGACAGTTTTGGGGTCTCGTTGAACACCCCCCCCCTTCCCTTTGTTTTGGTTTTCGTTGGATCTCTGTTTCGATGGCTTGCAACAGGTGCCCTGGGGCCTAATCCATGGCCGCCGGCCCAGTTGGCGAGTTGGCGAGTTGGCGAGTTGGCGAGTTGGCGAGTTGGCGAGTTGGCGAGTTGGCGAGTTGGCGAGTTGGCGAGTTGGCGAGTTGGCGGGCGCGCTTGTGTGTCGGTTGGGCTACTCATCGACATGGCCACGCAAGTGTTTTTTGGTTTTTTTCTCGGGGGCGGGGGGCCAGCATCAGTACAAACCACACCGAGCCAGACCTGGCAGTTTTTTCCATGAGACAAACAGTCACCATCCAAGGATTCGACCGGATGGTATTTGTTCCTCTCTTGGAATAGGGTGGGCATGGGACTGCAGAGCAAGTGTCTTGCCCAAACCCCATGCTGCTCTTTGAGTCGATCTGTTTCTAACAGATTGCGGACTTCCCCACAAAAGCGATCGGATCGCACGGTGCTTGAGATTCTCGCTTTGCATCGGACAGCTGTCCCAAGCTCGGCTCAAGGCGATGGCTTCTTGGACAACACTCTCTTTGAGGCCGGCCGGACTGAGCTCAGCTGAAAGGGAAAGCAGGACACCGACCAATTTGGGACGTCCACTCTTTTCCTTTTGGATGGATGGGTTTGTGTCTGATGGGATATGGCAGCCAACCCACATAGGAGTAGGTTCAACCCAAAGACATGCCCATTTCGGAAAACCATGTTGGTTACTCCCAATTGGCCCCTGATTGTGGTTTAAATGAACGTCATACATGCTCCGCTAACGGTGCTGTATACTTTTTGTTGTCGCAAAAGGGTGACTCCCAAAAAATGGGTGGCTTTCCTTCGGTTGCACTTCAAACCAACCCTTAAAGGGTGCCCTCAACTACATCTTGTGTATGACGCATACATAGTATGTGTATATATATATATAGTACTCCACGCATACCTACACTCTATGTACCGAATGCATGGTGTGCTTTCGAGGTGCGCTCACTTCGCGACTGTCCAGGATGGCCCGGACTGCAAGTTGCGCGCCCTCATCGACTGGGAGGACCTTGGCGAAGCGGCAGCAAGCCTAGGGACTCCTCGGCCCCCCCCAACCCACTTGTGCTGTGATCAAAACCCGGGTAGAGTAATGTTAGTAAGGGACAGTCCCAACCCCAAATAGCTGCGGCCGCCTTCTTAATTCTTTGCATGGTTCTAGGTAGACCATTGCAGTATGGACAGCGGCACCGAATGGAAGCTTACGAGTGACCCTTGTCCTTCAAAACGGGCGTACAATAAAGACATCGTGTCCGGTAAAAGCGATTGGGATTGTCTCTAAATCGGGGCGCTCAAAAAGTGTGTGTGGGAGGGGAGGGGTGGTCCTGTTTGTTTACCTTCAAATTACATGCCCTGCCCAAACTTTCCTGTCTGCTGGTTGCTTGAAGAGAAGACATGGATAGTACTAAGCCCCAAATCATTAGAGTAGGGTACTTGAAACCCAAACCAAGTCATGACTACCCTTGGAGCCATTTGGAACCCATCCAGCAGGTCACCCAATTTGCGCTCCTCTTTGCGGTGTTGGTTGGACATTTCGGTTGGTGGCGCCGAACCAGCACACCACGCATGTGCAATTCCAGCGCGTGAAGCTCCCTCCTTTGCTGAAAGGCCATGATAGGCATGAGTGGCTTGCACCCTGTGAAAACCATGGGTAGGCTCCTACAGGTTGCACTGCTCAGAGTTTCTGCAAGAGTCGTACGTGGCCGAGTTGCTTGGTGTCTGCGCCTGACAGTGGAAGTGCTTGACGCAGCTTGGCAACAAGACATAGAGCCGATGTCCAGAAGAGACAGATCATTGGCATTATCAGTAAGTCTATCCAAGAAGCCATGGACGATGCATGCTTTGCATGATTCAGGGCGCAAGCGCTTCCTTCCTAGCAAATCCTTCGGATGTGCTGCAGCTGCATCGCTTGGTTGCTGGACCCATCAAAGCGGCAGCACGGTGAAGCGCCTGTTCCTAGGCTTCTTCAACCGCCACTCAGATACGGTGGGGCCAGGGTGTACCTTTTGACCACTTTGGAAAATAGAGGAACGCCCGGCACGGATGTTTGCCCCAGCTTTCCCCGAAAACTTCAGAACCCTTTGTGTCAACTGCGCGGTCGCCTTTCGCGCCTCCGTGCGGCTGGGCGATGACCTCGAGCGGGCCTCTGTTGCTGCCGGCGGCGGCAGTAACAGGAAGGCAATGGCAGCGCGTCTTGGGCAGCGTTTTGGGACAGACAGTTGCTGAGCGGCACCCTTTAAGACGCAGGTTGGGCACAAAGACTGGTCAGCCGGTCAACCCAGTGCAACTAGTGAACGGGTAGTAAGGTTCTCGCACGGCATACATCCACTTGCTTGGCTGTCGGGTTCTGGTAGTCTAAGAAACCAGCTGCAGGACATCTAAGGGGGAACCCTTGCTTTCGGCGATTCTTTAGTTTGTTGAATTTCCTGCATGCAGAAACTCCTGTAGCTGGTTTCTATGTGGGGCCGATGAAATTAACGCCTGGTTGCTCAGGCGGGTGGCTGTGAAGCATAAGTCGAAAGACCAAGAGTTTCGATCAAGATTTCTGGCAGTCTATGATTCATTTGGGAGGGACAGGGGAGCTCACTGAATTACTCCGCAAAATCCAGGAGACGAGCTCCAACTTTACCATGTCCGCTGGGGAAGTAATTTGACCACTCCGATCCCCAACTGCCAACCGCACCTCTCCCGGGTTCATTCCCTCCTTCCCTACTGAGCACCAGCAAGAAAACATATATATATATACATAGGAACCCTGCTTTCGCCGGTTGTTTTGAGTTTGCTCGAGACCTTGTCGAGTGCGCGTGAGGCTTTTTGCTGCGCATGCCAGCGCTAGACGCGACGAGTTGCTCCCCTCTCTTGGAGGAGAGGCGAACCTAAGATAGGGAACCCCAGCCTCTTTTCTGTTTTTGGTTTCTTTGGGTGTCCCTTTAAAGCGCCCATAAACAGCCAATTTTCCAGCGGACTAGAGCTTATTGGTTCCGCTGAGCTCCGCTCAATTGACAGCGCTGATTCATGCTATTGCCCTCCTGTTTTATATTTGATATGGCTGGTTGTTTCCAAACAGGGAAAAAGTACCAACGGAAAGCACTTACCCACAGGAAGTCCGGTACTAGATTGAAATGCCAAAGACACCTTCCAAAAGCAGGTTCAATTGCCCCTGGATGACGCCAATTGCGACGAGTTAGAGAGCCCCTTTGTAGCCTATAGCTTCTTTGGCCAGCAGGATGACCTGAAGTAACAAAGGACCCTTGATTTCTTATATCGTCAGTTTGTCTCAAAATAGGATACTCAGATACTCCCTTTTGGCGGGTGTTCAAAGGCAAACCGAAAGGTGGCAAAGCCTGTTGCTGGGGCTCCCATCTTGAGAAACACTTATGTTTTAATGCTGAATCTTTCCCTGCTGCGAGCAAAGACTGGATTGCATCTTGGTCAAGCGGGAATGCTCCAATTTGCTTGGGCCACGGGCCACAGTGTTTGTTGAATTGACACTCAGCATTTGCGGAGCCTTCAAACCACCCCAAATGGATATGGGTCAAAATTAAACCACCAGGGGACCGCAGGTTTTAGTCCATGTTTCCATTTACCAGGGTTCCATTTTGGGTACCTATTTTTGACCCACAGCCAAATGTTTCAATCACCCCTCCACACAGAACACCGGATCAAAGCCACAGGTTCCGGGCCAACCCTTCAGAAAGCCCTCCAAAGACCCGGAACCAGCGGATGTTCGGCCGAGAAGATGTCCATGCCCGGGTTTCCACCGGCTTATATCACAACCTTTTCAAGTCGTTTTCGAGGAGCTAGGGATCAGCTGGGCCTAACCACCCCACCCCCTGCTGATATTGTCGGCGCTGGGGACCCGCGATCGCAGGAGATCGGCGGTGAGGCGTCCTCACGCCAGCGAGCCCTTTGGGTCCAATTCGGCGACCCGAAGTTTTGGGCATCCGCTTGTGTTGCGGGTGCACTGTTGTGGGACAACGCCGTTGTCGGGGTGGGTTCCCGCATTTCCAGACACTCGCATGGCCTGTATGTTGGACAACAAGCAAAAGGCAAACACGGAGTTTGGGCGCGGGGGAGAAATTGTGGAGCCCCAAGCGCAAAAATATATCTGGGAATGTTAACACATTAAGTCGGCACGCCCCAAAGCCCATACAAGATCGTTCCATGCACCTCTTGTACATGTTTCTCCACCAGGAAGTTAGTCAAGCGCAGGCAAAGAGCCGGAATATCCCAGGTTGGCGGATTTGAACCCTGGGTCTTGTTAATGGGAAGCTACCCCCCCTACCAAACCACCAAGGGAGAAGCTGAACTGGAATCCTGGAAATGACTCAGGCAGCTTTGCGCAAAACCGAGGGACTGAGCCCGGTATGGAGGAACATCCCCCCGAGCTTCGGTCTCTTTGCCGCCTTCTTCATTTCTTTGCCGCTTGGTCCAAAAAGTAGTCACTGTCCATATCGTGCCTATCCGAGCAACCCCAAAAGCAAATTTGGGGTCCCAGTTCCGCATTTTTGGAATATAATGTCAGGGATGTTCCCTTCCAAAAAGAAGAAGGATGCCCAAAAGTTATTGACCAGGCTGGATGCTAAACGGCCCTGTGATTTCCCCAAATCAAGCCACAAGAGCAGCTCTCCAGAGGCTCATGGCGCACCCAAGGTCTTTCCAGTGATATCCCGCACGAGGCTTGTTCAACATTTAAGCATTTGTCTATACTCAGTGGGGAGGGACATGAAGGAAACGATCAATAACCAAAATCAGTTGGGCTCACTCCTGATTTTCCATGTTTACCGCCGTGGCTGCATATTCTGACCGCCCTTTTGTTTGTCCGCATGTAAGGGAGCTCTGGCAATTCAGCCACGTTCTGTCATAAGGGAACGCTGGTTTGAGGAAATATTCTGTCAGGCTTTTAAAAAGAAGGGTGTTGAACACGGGGAGCCAACGTTGGCATCTGAGTTGTGGACGTTTTGGGAGAACGTGGGAGGTTCTCAACTATTTCCCGGGCTGAACCCTGGTGTTTGCCCATGGGAACGTGTCATCCTCGTTGTGGCTGATGGATTCGTGTTCTTGGGGAAACGGCCCATATTCATTTGCCGGTACCTTTGAAGGGAAACCCCAGCGAAACCAAGAAGCAATTTTGAGGGTGCGCTTAGAGACACACCCATGTTGTGTACAGTTTGTTCTCGAATTCTAGGTACTTGAAATTTGGGCGCCTCTTGAATAGCTTTCAAAGGAAACCAGCGCGGAATGATCTGAAGGGGCTCATTTTCAGAACACAAATCTTTTGACAAGTCCAAACATGGTAGACCCCGTACACATGGCTACCTAGATAGCCAAGTTGCTGTTTTTTCCAGTCACTGTTATTGCTGGTGTTTTGGGTAAAGTGGATGGAAAAAAGCGATCGCAACTGGATCGATCCAGGTAGTTTCCTTTTGGTTTCCCTTCAAGGAGCCCTCGGGTGAAGATGAAAACATCTAGGACATTCCTGCAAGGAGGGTCTGGGGGCAAATGGCGGTGGCTCCAAAAAATGGTACCAAAATGGCACCAAATGGACATGGAACCAAAGACGAACCCCGAACCCCAGCTCTGATTCTTTTTGCAGCCATACCCACTGAGCCGCAGGGTTCGCATTTTGTGAGCAAGGCCATATAGACTCAAACCCTCCGATCGATCGATTCTGTGGAGAGCCTGGTCAGTACCCTCTAACTAATCTCATTTTGTGTGGGTTCCCACTAAAGCCGGTCAGCTTAAAACAGGTTCCCGCTTTTGCCAGGGTCACAGGGCCACTAGGGAAGTAAATCACTGGATCTAAGCCTGCCCTTGGTCTGCCTAAAACTTGGGGGGCCCCGCCGAACCTCTGACAGGTCTATGCTTTGCGTGCCTCCTTTTGCCCGTATCGCCAAGTTCCAGCAGGACTCCTGGGAAAGTAGGTTGCAGCCTGCTAAGGGTGTTTCTCACCCCTTAGACCCTGCGCCCGGTGCACGGCCGAGCCAAAGTACGCACCTTTTCGCTACGCGGAACGTTGATATTGCTTTTCACACAGCACACCTGCTGTTCTGGCCAGAGGGATGTTGCTCCCTGCGCGCAAAAGAAACAACAATTAATCCTCCCGTTTTTTGCGAGCCCTGGTTGGGAAGGGTGCTTGGCGCAAGGCAAAAACTGCGCGCATGTTCGACTGAGTCATTGTCGAGCTGTTCTTGTTTTCCTGGTTGAGCATCACATGAGCAGGATTTTCCTTTGTTTCCAATCCACTTGTTAAGGTAAGTCATGCCTTTTTCCGTTTCCCTCCACCTGCCTCCCCACTTAAGTGATCAACCAAAAAGTTGTTGTCCTAGTCCCAGCATTCCATGTCTGAAGACTGCTTGCGTGTCGTGGACGTGAGGAGAGCGCCCTGTTTTTCAGTTTCACGCTGCAGCTCGCGGTAGTGGCCATGCCTGACCCTCAGGTACACTGGGGCCCTAGCCCTAGACGGGGGAGGGGGGAGGGGATCATCGGGCTTTCGTCCCAACGAATACCTTTTCTTTATGGCAACCAATCGCTTGTCTTTTTAGGTTTCTTCCATTCATTTTGTTGCTACGTTTGCCCTATAATATGATGTTTCTTGTTTGTTTCTGTACCACAAAGAGGGTCACCATTTTGAGATGCTCTGGCCTTGGGCCATTCGCAGGTACCTTCCTAGACTTCCCTTCTTTCTGCGGAGTCGCCGGGGCCCATGGAGCATTCACCTGGTCTTGGGCCTCCTGTGGTGTGCGGCGGTTGTGCTGCCGCTTGGCTAAAATCGCCCAACTCAACCGAGCAGCTGGATTCATGGTGATGTGTTTGCATGTTTTTTCTTCGTTGGTTGTTTTGGTAGTATCATCGTTTTGCCCTCAACCAAGTTGTAGAACCTGATTTGTTTCCCTGCTGGCGCTGCAAGATACCTAGCATTTTCTCCCACTGCGCGCGCGCGCTTCTCCATCGCCAAGACTTAAGCGCACCTCCTCACACCCGCTCAGTCAGCACTGCACGCCCGCCCTGCCAAATGGTAAGCACACCCGCTTACGCGCACCCGCTCAGCACTGCCCCCACGCCTGGCAAATAGAAAGCCCACCTGTTCACGCACACCTGCTCAGCACTGCCCCCATGCCTGGCAAATGGCAAGCACACGCACCCGCGCACTGCACACATGCCTGACAAATGGTAAGCGCACTGGCTCACACGCGCTCGCTCGCTCAGCACTCCCATGCCAGGCAAACGGCAAGCACAGCGGCTCGGCACTGAATTCATGGCTGCCAAATGGGAAGCACGCCCGCTCACACGCACCCGCTCAGCGCTGCACCATGCCAGGCAAACGGTGCGCGCCAAGCCTGGCAAACCCGCTTACGCGCACCCGCTCAGCACTGCACCCATGCGTGGCAATTGCACCGAGCGGCTGTTCGAAAAAAAGCTGTGCTTTGGGCCCGGCAGCCAGGCGCGGGTGGGGCGCACGCATTGTTTTGCGTGTCGGCGCTTCTTGTTTGCTGTTTGGTCTACGCCCGGCTCGCTGCCTGTTTGATTCTTTGCTTGCTAATTTGTTTGCTTGCTTGCGTGCTTGCGTGCTCCCTTGCTTGCTGGTTGGTTTGTGTGTGTGTGGGTGGGTGCGTGCGTGCGTGCGTGCGTGTGTGGGTTTGGTTTGGTTTGGTTTGGTTTGGTTTGGTTGGTTGGTTGTTTGTTTGTTTGTTTGTTTGTTTGTTTGTTTGTTTGGGTGTGTGACGGGGGGTCTGCCAACACTCACCGTTGGCCAACTCGAGGGTACTTTCGGCCGCCCGTGCTGGGCGGGGTGAGTGGGTGGCGGGCTTGCAGGGTGGGTGGCGAGTCCGCATTCTTAAGCTTCCCTTTGGCCGCAGCATCATGCGACCTGGACAAGACCGAGTTGAGCCAGCGCGTCGGCGTACCTGAGTGACCGGGCCCAGTCCGTGGTCTTCCTCTAGAGTCTTTGCAAAGTCTTCGCGTAGTGTTCCCGTGGTGTTCCTATTGTGTTTCTTCCCAAGTCGAATCTCCCAGCTGGATGTCTCGCTTTGCAAGCCTTCTTGCGTTGCCTTCAACCATCCATGTTGGAGGTCCTATTTGAGATGCACATTACATCCAGCAATCCCAATTAGAGCCGGCCGTCAGAGGCAAAGCCTTGTTCAAACATGTTGCAACACATTGTTTCAGCAAACTCCTCTGGGTTTGCCTTTAAAGGGAAACTAGCCAAAATGGCAAACCATTTGACTGCTAGTCAGCAATCCTGGCTGCCTGGCTGAACCGATTTTGAAAGGCACTAGTAGTCAAGTCCTCCACAAACCAACTGTGGCAGCTAGCTATATTTCTCTGGCGTTTGCCCAAGAACTTATTTTTAACAAAGCATCCCCTTGTGAGTTTCAAGGGGAATCTATCACTACTGGACATATTATCATTTTTTGGAACAAGCAAATATTAGCATTGTTCACTTTGTTTCAAGAGGAATCTTATCCCTTTTGTTTGGTTTCAAGGCCGAAGAAGCCAATTCGGAAGTGCTCCAAAACGAGCCCCGTTTCGACCAGGCGGAGCCAGGCCTATGAGAGGCTGCCCATTGCCTCCTGCGTATTGGCGCCTGGGCCTGCGGGCCTGCGGGCCTGCGGCGGGGACCACTCTTGACCTGAAAGGGTTCCTTCACATTAAGGAAATTATTGGTTGAGGAAAATCCTTCTGATTGAAGGACTTCCTTTTGCTGGAATTTCCTTCCTTTGGACCTCAAAGGGAATTAATTGAATGAATGTTCAGCAGAGGAGTTACTTCTGGGGACAAGGAACCCCGCAGACGCAGTTGCACGGGAAAATTGATCTTTCTCTCTTTGTTTTTTTTGGCGGGGAGTCTACGTCAAAAGAGCGCACGTAATGCATCTTAAGGCCCATGCTGGATAGACATAGCAAAGCCAGAGCAAGCGTAACAACATGGTCCTTCAGCTTGGAGCCCTGCCTTTTTTCTCGAGAATGACCCTGAGCCCCGAAGGATGCTCCATGCTTTGCCGATGTTCGGGAGAAAAAACATCGGCCAGAACAAGCGGTTAAGCGCAAGCGGGCGGCGTCCAGACTTGTCCTGTTTGCTGTTTTCTTGCGGGGGCTAAACTAGGAATGTATACAAGGAGTTGGACCATCCTGAGAGGCGTCTTAATTACTCCTTGTAAAGTTAATGGGAACCTAGGGTCTCCTTGGTTTGCCTTTCAATCAAATTCCCTTGTTGGGTTTCACCTTTGTTGGTTGATAAATTTGGCATACCTCCCAAACCCCCTTTGATTGACCCGAATATTCTCCAAAGTGGCAAATGGAAAAGGGGGACACGCTTGGCACAATGTAGTTGTTGCCATATCAACGGGGAAAGCAACAACGAATGTTAACACGAGCAACAGACAACAACACAGTGGTCTCTGCTTTTGGGGACATGGGGGTTGACCCTAGTTTGCCACGGGGGGACGGGGCAACACAAGTTCCTGGCCATTGTGGCCCGTGGCAATTTTCGTGGGGAGTTCTAGTTTACGCCTTAGATCGAGGCCTTCACAGGTTCGCGCACCCACTTGGGTAGAGCAAACGTCAACGGGCTGTGTCTTCAAGTTCGGAACCACCCCAAGTGGTTCATGTCTCTCTGGTTTCTTCAAAACAAAGTAGCCAGAAGCTAGCACTTGCTTTGAGACGACTTTTTAACAATTGAAGTGCACAGGGTACCTTTCAAGACGGTTCTCTTCCAAAAGCTTTCTGTCCACTCCCATTGTTGAAAAGAGGGCATGCCCAACATGCGCCCATCTTCACGTATCCAAAGGACACCCACGTCAGCAATGATTTGGAGCGAAGGTCACAAACATCCGGATGCCTGTGGGTATGGTGATGCGCTACGTCTCGGGGAAGCGATATACCTACTGCCAGATGGCGGGGGGCTTCCTGACTGCGAGCTCTATCCTAGCCTTGCCCCTTTAAAGCACTTAAAGGGCGTGGTACTTGTTGCTTCGACTGGTTGCGCTGTTGGTAGCTTGTCTTTGAATTGTTTGCTGGTCACCCTGTTAGTATCAACATGTCACGTTGCTTGTGCTCGTTCCCTGTTTGGTCTAACAGTTGAAATCTTAGCACCATTTGGAGCATGACGAACATCCCCACGCAGCAAACAGGTGTTTCACTTGTTGCAGGGGTCAATGTGATCACCCAAGATAACCTTGGCCCATAGGAGGAACAGCGGCCTCAAACCACTATCTTCAGAGGAAACCAGGCATAGACAGACTACTCCTTATTAATTTATGATAGCTGTGTAAATAGGCTCCTAAAAACCGCTTTTTCCTTGGGCGCAGCAAGGCTGTCCCTTTCACACTTGCTTTGACATACATGCTGTATCCAGGTGGAAACCTGGACACCTACAGAACTTGAGAGCCTTGTCACCTTTTGGGCTTTCAGGAGAGCAGCTCATGTGCTTTGTTGTTCCAACTTGGGTAACCGTGCTGGGGTACCTGGGGTTAGACCCATCCTGCCAAAATCAATTTTGCCAGAACACACGAATCCCTTGTTTTTCACGTCTTTCTCTCGTTCGCGCAACACCATGGATTTTGACATACTCCAAACCCAAGCAACCCATCCATTTGTTGGAACCAAAACTCCCTTTTAGGGATCCTACCTGTTTTTGGGGTTCCTTCCATTAATTTGCAGGAAGTAATCTTAACCCCAGATAAATGCATAATAGGAGGGTGTGCCTTGGTGGGTTTTTAGATGGGAACGCCCCTATTTCTAGGCGTTTCTGATTGCAGGGTCAACATTACTTGGGTGTCTTGTTCAATTCGGGGAAGGGGTCCTTTTGGTTTCCTTTTCCACCACAAAGGGAGAACCCTCAGAAGACGAGCCACCCACTGCTGTGGTGTCGCAGCCATCCACAAGGTTTCCGCACTTCCAACCCCAAGTTGGTTTCCTTTTGGTTTCCTTCTCCACCGCCTCAGAGGACGAAGTTGGGGGTGGGGGGGTCCTTTACCTTTTGAAGGGGGGGAGGGGGCTGAGCGCTGGGTCAATTTTCTTAGGTACAGCCGGCACAACCCCGGCTGCTTAACTGCAACCCCTGGTTTCCTTTTCCACCAAAGGGGAACTCTCAACAGACGAGGCGCCAGGTCTGCAGCCCCGAGGTGCCTCCGCTGGACGCTGAGCTCCGGAGAGCTCCCGGACGGCCTCTGGCAGCTGCTGGCTGCGGCGCTGGTGCAGACGGCCGAGGTGCGGCTCATGAGGACTGGGGCGGGCGAGATGCCTTGGGTCAGATGGGATGGTGACCTCCCCTGTTCAAGTGGGTTTTAGAGTGCCGCGTCTTTTGGTTTGGATGGTGACCTCCCTGTGTTGAAGTTGGTTTTAGAGGGAAACAAGGGGAAAGCCAGGGTTTTTTTTTCTTCTAGAAACGGGGTCATCCAGGTGTCAAAACTTGGGGAGACTGCGAAAGGGTACCCTCAAACAACACCTTCATAGAACAAGCCACACGGGAACCTGAGTAAAAGGTAGGACAGTCCCCTGGTATTGTTTTTGGGTGTGTGATGGATGATCTTGTCTAGCTGCTGCTCACAACCAAGTCAACCAACAGGTATCGTCCAAAAGGGCTCATCGGCCTGCCTTACAGCCGCAATGCAAAGGAGTACTGGCCCCCCTAGAGTTGTGTCAGCTGACTTGCAGGGTGAAATGGCCATGGGTTGCCTGACCTATGGCGATCCCATGGGTGAACATCCATTTGCCACCTTTGATGTTCACCCCTACACCGTCGGAAGGCCGGGTCGGGCGGGAGCGCCAGCTGGATGTTGAAAAGCCCATGGTTGCTATTTGCCCAAAAGGAAACCGAAAGGGAACAACAAAGGGATGGGTAAAACTCATGTTTTTCAATTTTGCGAGACCCCCCCCCAGTTGGGGAAAAGGGGATGGGTAGGACTTAGCATACATGTTACATGTTACCAGTGACTCAAAGTGAAGCAAACTCTATAGCTGGGCCTAACACTAATCATGAAACCAAAGGGGAAAGGGGACGGGTCATTTCTCTTAATTTTTGCGAGACCTTGTTGATTCTCTGCCAGGAATCGGGTCCACCACTTCGGTGGCAACATCCAGGAGTATAGTCTTTTCACCCACATCTTCGCGCTGATGGTGCTGTTCCCCTACCACTGGCCGGCCATCAAGTCGCACATCCAGGTTTGCCTCAGCGGCTCTGCTGACTAATGTTGACCTCCTATTAATCAACCCCTGTTTATAAACATGGGGGGTCCCTTCTTCAAAAGGGATGAACCTCAACTAAAGCCAAGGGCGCCCCCAGAAAAATAATCAGGGGTTGATTAATAGGGGGTTCCATTATTCTGGATCAGGTCTGTGCAACCTGCGGGAGGATCCGTGTTTCCATGTGCGATCTTATGGAAATCCACAAGAAGTGGCCATGGTTCAAAGCCAATGGTGCCATTTTGGGATAGGTGCACCACTCATTTCATTCAGAACCTATTTTAGTGAGGATTGGGATGTTCACTGGGGGTACGTGGTTTTGACCGGCTGTTTGGATATATGGGTTGATTCATGGACGAATGAACCGGTGGCCGGCGTCGGTGGACGTGTCTAAATCCTACCACCTACGTGGAACCTCTCAGAAGTTCCCTTGGTCTAGGCTGGTTTCCACTACTTCCCTGGTGCTGCCAAAGAGTCCATGAGGCAGTTACGTCCTTAACAGGAACACGATTTTCCAGCGACTCTGGTTGTGGAAGACGTGGATGCAGGGTCATGTTCTGTGATACCAAGTGCATCTCCTTGAAAGTGAGATTGGCCCTTGGCATCACTGAAACCCAGTTGTTCAGTGGCACCTTTGTTTCTCTTTTCGTTAGGTGGCTTCCTCACTAAAACTATTCAACAAGAAATGGTTCCCTCTGTAATCCAGGGTCACTCAACTGAGGAAAGGAGCAATTTCCACCAGGCACATTCACCACCAACCCCCCACGCCCCACCAACGCCCCACCAGCCCGGTCCCTTCCAGAGGGTCGATTTTAAGGCGGGCGCGACCGCTGGTTCAGCTCCTACCTGGTCGTAGGACTCAACGACTCAAAGTGGGGAGACCCATCCAGGCCCATGCTTCTCAGAAGTTCCCTTTGAGGGAATGTCCTCTTGGTGGCTCCCGAAGGCCATCCGGCTCTTTAGCCGTTGTTTAGTGGTAGTTTCCGTTTAACCCACCAAAAGTTAAACTTTTAGCGGGGGATCTGAGGGCAGTCCTCCAATTATGGCTTGTTGGGTATGTACATCTGCAGTACTGACACGCTTCCTTTTTTGTTTGGCGGTCAAGTGGCTGCTTACCCAAGTTTCCGCTGGCTGTAGCAGAGTGGTCCATTTGGTTGCAAAGTGGCATCACGGTTTCCAAGGCTTCAACAGGAAACTTAGCTCTGAGAGGAGGCTTATGGGGTATCCAAGAGGGTTTTCAATACTTCCGATCCACCCCAAGGGAAAACATGGTAGATGGCACTTGCAAAAAGGCAATGCAGTGGGTATGTGCCCAGCTTTCCTCTGAGAGCAGTGGTTTGCGGTCGGGGACAATCGACTTGGCTAGAGCACCAACTGGCTTGTGCCTTTTTTGAGGGCCAAGGTTGTTGCAAAGGAAACCTTTCAAAGGGAAACACCGATGTTGGGATTTTCTCATTTGCAGACAAATCCGTGTTCTTTAACGCGCATGAGACAAAGGGACAACTTGGGACATATCTGGTTCGAACCCGCACTTATTTTCGCCATTCAAATCAACTACTGCCAAAGTGTTGTTGAGCAACATTGGTCATGTACATGGCAGTAGGTGCTTGGAAATCGGGGATTTGGTTGGCTTCACGCCACCAGAAGTAACCAACGGGTTCATACATGGGTTCCCATTTTTATGACTCAGTCAACCCCTGGTCGATTTCCGCTTCTTCTTCTTCTTTCTTTCTTTCTTTCTTTTTTTGGGGGGTCCCAATTAAAGTTGCAATCCTTCATTTCGGGAAGCACCGCCACCATTTTAGTCCAGGTTGACACCGTCGACATGAATCAGGGCCGCTTTAGGGCTCCGTTGGGTGGCCCTTTGACAACTCAGATTGCTCCACATGAGACCCGGTGAATGAGACCCATGAGCCACAGATCCTACCCGGCGCGAGTTTTTGTCCATCCGTACCTCGGATTTCTCCACGTTCCCCATAAACATGTTTAGCGGGTTGATGGAATAAACCATCAGTGGATCTCAAGGGTTCCATTGCTTTGTGCGATGTGTTTTGGACTGGCAGGCCTGGGTGCACACGCTTTCACTGAGCCTCATGATCATGCAACCTCTTGCCTCCAGTCGCCTCTTCTCTCAAATGTTAACACCCTGTCTCCTCGCATGGCGTATACTGCAGAGGAACAGCGCATACTAGACTCGCTTGCAGAAAAGGGATTTCAACCACGCGATGTAGCTGGTCTGACACATCCAGACGTGCAAGATGAAGTTCGGTTCGCTGTTCACGCTGCACTTTGGAAGCACTGCGAAAGAAGATCTGGAAACTTCATTGCAAGCCTCGCGCTTCGTCTTGGGCTACTATGCTGCCTACCAGCACACAGTCTGCTTCCTCCAGGCCAACTTCTGCTTCAACGCCTTTGCTCCGTCCAAACGCTCCACCTCGAGCTGCCCTGATGCCGCTGGAGAGCGTCGCGATGGCGCTCCTGGAGGCTGTTGTCCGGCCGGGCTTCAGCCTTGCACCGCCCCCAGCAACAGGTGACAGGGTGGCGTGGATGGCCTCCCTTGCAAGCTCCTTGCTGCAACGCTTTCAACCTGGTACACTCGCTGCTGTCCTTAGGACCTGGACCCGCCTTTTACAGTGGCAGGTCGCCACCGAAGTTGCCATGGGTTCCTTTTCGGACCTCACTCTTCGAGACTTCCTCTTGGCACAAGGGCGCCGTGGGCGGACAGTTCCCGCAGCGGTATCAACCACTTACGCTGGCTTCATGAGCACTTGCAAGTCCCAATGCCGTTGACATCGCCGCTACTGGCGGAGTTTACCTCGTGTCCGCACAACACATGGCCCACTCAGGCTGAGGCCTTGGGGCCTCAGGCTTGGAAGCAGTTTTTGCACTTAGCCGGGAACCAGACCAACCCTTCGCTCGCACTGGCAGCTGGCCTCGTCGTTCGCTTTGCAGTGTCCGGACTCCGCTACAAGCACTGTTCTCGAGCTACGCTGGACCTTGACCTGTCCTCAGAACGCACGGGTGTCTGGAAGGTCTCCCTCGACAAGGATGGCAAGCCTTTTGCAGTGGGGCTACCTCTCTTTGTGGAACCTGGACATCCTCTTCTGAGCCGCGTGCAAGCTGAAGTGCGTGCTAGGCTTGGAGTTGGGACACCCTTTCTCCCAGATATGTTTTTCGATGCAAAGGGAGCTGTCATGATTCGGTCTGCACCTGCGCCTTACCAGCGCTTTCAGGCCTTCATGCGCTCTCTCTTGCAGCTCCCGCCGCTTTCACTCTCCGAGCGAGCGGCCTCTACTTATTCTACCCGAAGTCTGCGGCGCTTTCTGCCGCCCGTAGCAGATGCCCTTCAGCTCTGCGATTCTGATCGCCTCTGCTTGGGCAATTGGTCGGATGGGCGTAGGCTTCCGTTGCCTGTTCGCTACAGCTCCGAGCGACTGGAGTCCGCCGCGCATGTGCGTCGGCTTTGCCTGGCCTCCGTTCACCATTTGTTGAAGCATGTTCCGCATTGCGATGCATGGTCCAGCCTGCGCGCTGTGGCCCCCCATCTTGAACGCTTGCGGTCTATAATTGCCTCCTCCGCTTGGAGCCCCGGCATTTGCTCTGTTCCGGAGCCAGAAGTCATAGAGACTAGCCCGGTTTCCACAGAAAAAGCGTCTTCCTCGGAGAGCTCTGGCTCCCCTTCGAGTGACGCTTCTTTGGAACATGTTTCCCCGGTACAGCATGTTCGCAGCGAACCTGAAAGCCTCTTTTCTGTTTGCCCGGCCAAAGGCCTCTGGCATGCAACGGAAGAGTCTCAGGGTCTCACCCCGCTCTGCTCGAATCGCGTTTTTCGTCAACGAGGCATACAGTGGGCCTCCGGCCTCACTGCTGCCTTGGAAATCCATTCTAAGTTTTGCGCTCTTTGCCTTTTAAAGCTTGAGAGCGAATCTCGTCAGGCCATTCTTTCGCAGGAGGCCCCTCGGTGACGCTTTTGAGTTCGGCAAGTTGCAAAAAAAAGAGGCCTAATCAAGATAGGCCTTTGTCCTGTGGCCTGGCTGTGTTTCAAGTTGAGACTGGTGCGTCTGCTAGTGTTGTGTTTCGCATTCCACTCTGCCCCTGCAGGTTCGTGCTCAATGTGACACTACTTTTCCCGTAGACGCTGCGTTATCATGGCTTCCGGAGTTGAGCGCTTCGAGCTCCTCTTGGTCAGCAAGCACAGGGTTGAGAAGGCGGTCTTCCAGGCTCTTCAAGACCTTGGCTGTGAAAGTGTCGCCGACTTCGTGGGTTTGTACACCGAGGCCGACTACGAGGATGGCTTGAGAGAAGTGCTTCAAGGACAATCGCATCCAGCTTGCGCGGCTGCGGGTCGCCTGGGCCCGGGCCAGGCAAGACTTGGCGGCAGCCTCGTCTGCTTCTGGAACCTGCGCAGAAGAGAGCCTCGAGGCTCCTCTCCCGCCTGAAGTTCGTCAGCGCCAGGAGGACGTCTTCTTCGCCAAGTATGCCCTTCGCTTCCCTCCTGATCTTCTTCCTGCAGCTCCACTCTTTGCCCGGCACTTCCGCGAGTTCCGCCGCCAACGCAAGGAGCTCAACGATCTGGCTCGTGTGAAAAGCGCGGCTGGCTCGTCTTCGGTTCCCACAACTGAGGTGAAGCAGCTTGGTGACTTCCGGGTTGTGTTGAAGGCGGAGCCTCCGCCGGTCGGGTTCAAGGACTTGATCAGCTTGCTTCGGGCGCACGAGATCCTGCTCAACAGTTGGGCGATGGCAGGCACCTCTGAGCGCGAGTCCAAGCTACTCCCGTGTACTAAGGTCCCTGAGTTCGGCATGTCTGACGCCCTCGCGTACCGCACCTTTGCTTCTGAAAGGCTGCGGCGCTACCCCGCGGGGTAGCACAGTCTCACACGCCATTCAGTGGTTCCTAGACCGCGATCGCCAAACCCGCTTGTCTGCCATTTCCTTGTACAACGAGGAGTGGCCTTTTGGAGAAGCTCTCAAAACTGCTTACGAGTCCAGGACGGCGGTTTTGTGGCAGGTAGGCCCTGGCGTTGTTGGCGCCGTGGACGATTCCTTGGCAAACAAGCGCGAGACTCCCGAGCCACCTGGACCTGCTCAGGCTGACACCTCCACAGGCAAGACCATTGCCGCCAAGGATTTGTGCGACAAGTGGAACAAGGGCAAGTGCTCCAAAAGGCAGGCTGAGTGCGCTGACCAGAAGCTCCACAGATGCAACTACCCGGTGAACGGCGGCTTCTGCGGTGCTTGGCAGCACAGCGCGCTCAACCACAAGCAGAAGCCTAGGGACAACTCCTCACTACCGGGGGGCCACCTGGTAGTGAGGTCGTCCGTGAGGCTCTTCCCTGTCACCCATCGCCGGATGGCTTTGCGGGTGCTGCTGCTGGGGCTGTCTCTGAGGCCCTGCCTTTTCTGGCTTCCTCGCACGGCGCCCAAGTTTTTCCAGAAGCTCGGTCCAAATCATGCGGGATGCCCACAGCGTGCTGCGTCTGAGTTCACGCCTTCTTCGGCGCCCTCTGCTAGCAGCTTCCTTTCTCCTGAGCAGCTTCAACGTCAGCCCTTTGTGTCTGAGGCTGCAGCTGCGGCCACCCTCGCTTCCAAGGAGTCTTGGTTCAAAGATACTTTGTCTCTGCTGCCACTCCAACACATCCTTGAAACTGTGTGGGATTCTTTCCAGGAGGTGCCCTTGGACCCCTTTCAGCAGTACGCTGCCTGGGCCCAGCAATGCTGTCTTGAGACCCCTCATGGTTTGGATTTGGAGGCACTGCGCAAGGTAGATCCGGCCCGTTGTTTAAAACAACCGCGTGCTTCTGTAGTTGGGCCCATGATTAGCACTGCCCTGTCAGCTAGGCAGCACCTCAAGCCGCTGTTGAGTTGGCCAGCCCATTTGCACAGAATGCTTCTCTCGAAAAAGATTTGCAGTTCGCCGTGCGCGAGGCAGTGCGCCACGGGCTGGGCATTCAAAAGATAAGGGATGTTAGCTCCAACGCTTTTCGGAAACTTGCACGGTCCTTGTTACCGCTGGATACGTGTTTGTTAAAACAAAGACATGTTAATCACGTGCCAGGTTTCCGACCAGCTCTCATGGCCGCATGTGTCAGCATCCTTCAATGGCCCGACCGTGGCTTGCCACTGTGCCTGTGTCACGGTTTCCCCTTGATTGGGTCCATCCCCGCATCTGGCATTTTTAGGCCCGTTGAACCTGACCCTGCCCCAACTGTTCCGTTGCTGGGGCGCGATGCAGAACTCTTTGTCGACAAACTTGAGTTTGATCTTCGTGTTCACCCATCTTCCTCAGTGATTTTAGAAGAAAGCTTGAAGGAACAAGAGTTGGGTCTGTTGGGGCCGTTCCAGAGTCGTGAGTTCTTTGACGGGCTGTATGGGGTTGGCAGGTGGCGCCCTTTGAAGCGCCATACTGTTCACCAACACGGGAAAGAACGCCCAATTGACGATGGTAAAGCTGGTCGACATAATGCATGTACCCAGCTCCATGAGGCCATTGTCAACCAGCGTCCTGACTTTCCGCTGTAGTTAAGTTTTGGCACCGACAAGCTCTGGAACACCTTCAACCGCCGACCTGCCCTGTAATATCCCTTGGTTGCAGATTGTAGCTGGCACTGAAGACCTTTGGAAAGGATATCGCCAGAACCACCCTATCCAGGCTCACATGTGTGTGAATATCGTTACTTTTGTACACCCCCACACTAGGAAGCGCGTTTACGCCTTTTGGCTTGGCATCCTCTGTGAATCAATTTAACCTCGCTTGCAGGAGCTCATAAGAATGTTTTCATTCGAATGATGGAGGCGTTTGGTGTCATCATTGGGCACAACAAACGGCAGCGCATGAGCCCTGTGCCCCGGTTCTCAGACTTGGTAACGGACATGTCTGAGGTGGCCGAAAGTCACGAAATCACGCTCCGCGCATGCCCGGACACGCGGGCACGTGCAGCCTGATATGTTGGCATCTTTTCTCCACGTCCGCAAAGTGACCTCCGGTCAGGCCGCCAAGGCCCGTGGATTGTTAAACTGGTTGGAGATGACCTTTTTAGGACGCCCGCTCACAGCCGCCTTTTCGGGGCTTATTGCGCGGCAATATTTCGAGTCCACGGACGATTTGACTCCGTCTCTCGAACTGTGCGTCAGGTACCTTCAGCTAGCGTTGTCTGTCTTGCCTGCCAGGCGTGTGCCGCTCTTCCCACGGCCAACTCGTCCTGTTGTTGTGTACACGGACGCCTCCACTGACGCACGTGCAGGTAGCGGCTTTCGTCTTGGTATTTGGGTCCACCGGGATTCCCAAGTTTTTGTGTCATCAGTTGATGTTCCTGAAAATGTGGTAGCAAAGTGGGCGCCCCGACGCTCCTACATCAATTTGCTAGAGCTGTTGGCAGCCCCGCTGCTCGCGTTCTCCTGCCCCCATTTGCTGCGCAATCGCGACATTCTGTGGTTCATCGACAACCAAGCAGCTTGGAGGTCCCTTGTTCGCTCAGCTTCGTCAGTCGCTGATGTCAGCCACTTGTCTTTGCTCGCAGGCCTCCAGTTTGCGAAGCTGTGCTGTCATCCTTGGTTTGAGTGGGTACCCACTCACCAGAACATCAGTGACCCACTCAGCCGTGGCGGATGGGTTGACGCTAATTTCCGCCGTCAATACAGGCACCTGGAGCCCTTTGGCGCTTTCGCCGCCCTGACACCAGCTCTCGCCTGACTTGCAGTCCACAGCGTTGGGGGAACTATAGTGCTGCTTTGCCCGGCGTTGGGTTTGTTGGCAGCACTCGTTCCACGTAAGCGCTCCACGCAGGCATTGCGTGCCGCTGTCCACCAACGCTGTAATCTCCGTCAATGCTTTGAGTTTGAGCCGCGACTCAAAAGGCTGTGGTGCGATGCATGCTGGTTACAGTGATGTGCGATGTGTTTTGGACTGGCAGGCCTGGGTGCACACGCTTTCACTGAGCCTCATGATCATGCAACCTCTTGCCTCCAGTCGCCTCTTCTCTCCCCTCCCGCAGCCGCCCTGACTCCCATGGCCACAGTCGGGGCGTTTGCCGCTGCGGCCTTGTCACTTCTTCGTGACTCGTGTTGGCGCGTTGTTAAACAACCCCAACCCTTCGTGCTCGAGCCTGCCACTCCGGGGTTTGTTGGCAGCACTCGTTCCACGTAAGCGCTCCACGTTGGAACATTTTGTGGGAGTGCACTCCCTGGAGTTAAACAGGAAGCTCCGAAGCTGTTACATGTATATATATATATATACATATATATATATATATATATATATATATTTATTTTGCAGGTTAGTCAACAACAACCATGGTTGGGATAATCCTAAAATAGAAGCTCTTGGGGTGTTTTTGTCAGACTTCCGCATTTCAGAACACGAAGCTGACTTCCGACGATGATTGGGGCACCGGCTCCCTCAAACCCCCCAATAACCCATCCCCCCCCCCCCCCCCAACACAAACCGAACTCCCCCCCCCACACCCCTTCCAGAACTGGCCCAGAACCCCACCTAGGTACGACGTACGACTGGTAGCATGTGGCGGTGAGATTGACTCAAAAACTGCAATTTTTGGCATTAGCGGGCGGACACACTGTAATTGTAAACGTACCGGGGAAATGCCGGTTCGCGACTTTCTCAGGGATATGTGAAACTGCTCCTAACATAATCATAGTTTCCCTATTGACCCACGAAAAATAATAGGGCAAAGGACAAGCCTGCACTTCCATGTTAAGCACACGTGTTCTCCTTCACATGGAAGTGTAGGGCCCATTTTCAGGTGCTATGTTAGGACACTTACGTGGGTCGGAACTTGCGTTTTCACTCACGTTGTTTCTTTTACATGGAAGTGCAGGCTCGAAACAGGTTCCTTCAAGAATCTAGGGTTCCTGAAGAAATCCCGGGATTGTCGTGGGGTACCCTAGGTAACTTCTATGTTAGGAGGTGGTCGTACATTCCCACCAAAAAAATGACAGGCATTTCCCCAGAAAAAGACGGTCGAGGGACTTCCATATTAGAGGGACCTCTGAGAGCACGAACTTCCTGTTTAACTCCAGGGAGTGTACTAATACTTGCTCGCACAAATCTGTGCAAGGTGCTAGTTCCTGGTGGGGGGTACCACTCAGAAGTGAGTTCAGTCGCGTGAGGAGTGCTGCTGCACTTCGGGGCGCGGAGCCTGGCGAGCGGCCTGGCGAGGCGGTCAGTGAATGTGCAGCAGGCGCAGCTGGTCCAGAGCTGCGCAGGCGGGGGGGTTGGGGGGGGTGGTTTGGGAGGGCCTCGGTGGGTGGTAATCTGTCGGGTGGGAGGTTGGGGGTGTTTTGGGTTGCATTTGGTTTGGGTGTCGATCTCACTTGCCCAAAGCGAATCGACCTTGAACCGGTTGCCTGATTTGGTTCACTGTGTGTGCGTGTTTTGAGGGTATCGCCCCCCATGTTTGTGGTGTTCAAGGGAAACCATAAGCACAACCGACGCCATTTGCAGACGAGCCAACGAGCCACCGATACGCCGACCTTTCACCTTTGGGCTTTCCCGGTCTGGTCCATGGTCCGTCTGAAGGTTCCTTAAAACTTACTGGTTCTCAGCAGAGAATGAGCAATGGAATGACCCATATAAACCATTCCCCATGGTTTCCTTCAAGGGAATCCCTAGGTTCACCCAAAACCCATAAGGTCATTCCCTGAGCGACCGGCGAGTTATTTAAGGAACCCTGTTTCCCAGATCGGTAGTTGCTCATTCCCCTTCCTTTTCCGGGAGGTCTCCCAAATTTCCCCTTTCTTCAAAACATCACCTCAGCCAAAGCTGCCAAAGCTGCCAAAGCTGGAGCATCCCAAAGTTGGCCGAATTTCCCAGGGGATGGGGGTTTCCGGTTCGGGTTCCTTTTTGTCCGCCGCCTTGCCGCTGGTTGCATTGAGAAGCCCACGGTGCCGCGTCGGCGCGAGGCCTGGGCCAGTTCTTCACCGCCGCCTTCTGCTCCCCAAGCCCGGCGAACTGGGGGCAGGCGCATGGGGCTGGGGGGGGAGTGGTCCTGTGGCGGGGGGAAAACCCAAGGCGGAGAAAGCAAAGTACTTTGCGGCTGGGACATGTGGCAAAAGAGAAAGTGAGCAGGGTGTCGATGTTTGTTTGGGGTCTTGGCAAACAGCGATCTTAGAAGTTTGGTTGGTGTATTATTGTAATTTAGCCAGATGATGTGGGGGCAATACAGCACTAGGCCCCAAATTGGGGCGCCTCAGATTTCTTTAGGATGGCGCTTTGAGGAGACCAAACAAAGAGAAAGTCTGTGGTAAACACCCGCTGCCGGTTGCATTGGAAATGTTTCCAAGCTGACCAAATCCAGCACCGCAATTTGGTGGTTTCCCGTGGAGTGGTTTATCCTGGGTGCTGTTGTCTCCATTTTGGTGGTTTATCCCAGTAGGGTGTCCGTTCTGAAGTGGAAATTGGTGCACCCAAGCTCCGTGACCGGGCGGGCTGTGGATGGCTTGAAGCTGGCATACCGGTTTCGCAAAACCAACGTGTCACGACTTGAGCCAACCAATTGCCAAAGAACGCCACAGCCCAGGACTTCCACCAACTGAACAGAGAGAAGTGGTTCAAGAAAGCCGAAGACTCGGACAGGTTCGACGGTATGGCTGGTCTGGGCGCCAAATCGCGCCTCAGACCCGGAAACAGTTTGAATTTCTGTTCCAGGAATCCTTTCGGATGCAACTGACTCCGCGGTCTGTTCCAATCAACACTTCAGTGCAGTTCCGCGGCACCATCCCAAATGACCCAAATTGAACCTGCGATATATTTTTTTAAAGGGTCAAGACCCATCCGCGGTCCTTCCGAGCTGGCTAAGTTCAGGCTGCGCTGAGCAGCGTGCTGGTGGCCGCAGGTCTCTCGGAAGGGTTCAATTGGGTAGATGGAACCGCTCCCCGGTTTAGCCCCTGGGGACTTGTGCCAGCTTTCACCCTCTTTCTCGCGACTTGATTGATTCAAGCGGAGGCGACCCCCCCCCTATTTGGATGCCGAGGAAAAAAAAGGATGCCCACCTGGAGCGTGCGCTGATGTTGTTTATTCCGTCTAGACAGCTGGCCATAGGCTTGGTACTCCCAGCCAATTCCGACGTCCACCAGAGGCTCTTGCAGTTGATGGGAAACTGCTGGGCGATGGTTTGGATGCCGCGGGGATTTTTGTTAACTCCCACGTTTCAGGACCCCAAGCTGCGAGGACTCACAAACAAGACTCTTGAGCAACCAAATCTGTCCCAAGGAGCACCCAACAAAAATACAGTCTGGGGTTTTGCTGAGGCGACGTCACCCGCTTCTGGGCACCTGAGAATTCACCGCACTGTTTGGGTACTTCTGGCAATCTTTGGTACCCAGAGGCTCCTGGGGCTTTCAATGGAAGACCCGACCTCTCCGTTAGACACCCCGGGAATTGGTGTTTTGGGGTCTCAACACCCGGCTGTTCGAGGGCCCCAAATTGATCGAATTGGAGCGTTTGGGTAGGCGGGGTGAGACTGAGGCAACTTCCTGTACCTGAAGGACACCGAGATCTCTGAGGAGAGCACTGTTCTTCGCACATCTTCGCTTCGCCTTCCTTTCTCCCACGGTCGGCATCTGGCATCGAAAACAGAGGGTCCCTTTCAGAACGTTGATCTTCCAGGTATTTGTATATGATGTAGCGTCCCGAAATCTAAAGACGGACTGGGAACTTGTCAAGGTTGGCCCGAAATCTAAAAAGAAAAGGAATGAGCCATTCCGGTGTGGGAAACAAGGGTCCGTAAATAGGACCCTTGGTAATAAACACCTATACAAAAGCACCAAAGTGCGAGGAGAGCAACATGAGCCCAGCCCTGGGCAAGATGATGGAGATGGAGTCCCCAGCCCTCAAGCAGGCGCTAAAGCGCTCGAACTCGGCCTAGCCAAATCCGAGCTTTGGGTCGCCCGGGTTGGATTCATTAGTGAAGGTTGCAAATGCGAGGAAAAGTCTCCGGATTGGTCTATCCTATGTAGGGGGGGGCAAGGACTCGAAGTTTCAACCAGTGAGAAAACCCACTTCTTAGGGAACAGCATAGGTCGACTGTGGCTATGGGCTTGCCACCGGAGGAATCCCTGAAATTGTGTGTTTTTTGGATTCCGTTTCACAACCCCACCAACATAGGTACTCTGAGGGACACCCACATGCCCAAATGCCTATACCGCCATGTGTCTATCCCCCGAAGGGTTTCAGACTAGCACGGCTGGGCAGAAACTTGAGAGGAAGAGGCAAAGTGACCTGGTAAAAATCATCAGGTCATAGAAGCGACCCACGCGTTTGTTGCTCTCATTTTGCGACCGTGTCGTTTGAACTAGAGGGGAGTTTGTAAGAGATTAGATTTTACCCGTGGCAATGTCTCCAAACAGTAGAAGAAACCCGAAGGACCACAGGCACAAAGGGCCTGTGTTAGTTTTCGAAGGGACCCGTTTTTGGGGAAGCTTCAATCAGTAAATGACCCTGCACTGTTTCTGAGTTTGGCAAGACGCCGTGTTCCCACCCAGCGCCCAATGTCCATCGCTCCCTGTGTGCGGGACAATTGGAGTCTATGTTACGCCATCTCCTCCAGCACCCCCCAATGGCTGGCCAATTGCCGGCACATCGATTTTGGGCAAAACGATGTCACTTTATGTCTAAGTGACGATGTCACTTTATGTCTAAGTGACTGCAAAAGCAATTTGCTATCAAGTATCACTCATCTGTACTTAGTGCAACTTGTGCAATGATACAAGTGACCTTTCAGGGTCCTTTGGAATGGGGTTGCAGGGGAAAGTGGAGAGCAGCAAGTTTGAGGTTTGGAGACCAAGTTTGAGGGGTTGGGAGGGGTTCTTGAGGAGCGTGTCACGGCGTGTCACGGCGTGTCACGGCGTGTCACGGCGTGTCGGGGGGTGGCCAATTGCCGGCACATGTACGTTGAACGGTCACTTTTTTGGGATATGAGTGTGTCACCAGCGTGTAGCCTCCCCTCCTTCTCTCGCGCGTGGCATGTGCAATGATCATACATGCCAGCCCAACCCCTCAATTGGATCCCCTCTAGTATCCTGAAGTGACGTTTCAACAAAAGTGACTTTTCACTGCACTTTGATGATGGCAAAGAAATATATGTGACTACAAAACCATTTTGAAGCAAGTGCTGGTCAATTGCCGGCACTTCACCCGGGACGCCAATTACCGGCCATCGGGGGGGCCTGGTTTAGACTATTTATCTTTGGAATGTAATTCTTCATCACTCTTTGTCAAAACTCCCCACCATTCTACTTTTCCATATTTCCAGAAGGGGGATCATCAGGTTCAAACAGTTTCCCCCCGATTCCTCAAGAAGGTACCCAGGCAAAAACAGGTGTTCACGATGCTCGCCTGGGCATGAACACATGAGTGCCCTGAGCGCCCTGTACGCCCCAAAGGTCAAAGGTAAACGAGAATCCAATGCACACTTCGCACAGGCCATCCGCTACACCACTAACTTCCAACATAAATTATATATATATACATATGTATACACACACATTTATATTTATCTACACACATTTTGTTTATGTCTGTGTGGCATACACACACACACCCAGGTCATGTGTCAGGTCGTTGGTTCCCGGTCTGTTCGTCACATGGCTGGCGAGGTCTGGGCGGAAGCCACTCAGGAGGCCAAGATGGGCGACGAGGAGGCCATCCGGCCCCCTGGCGCCCACCATCTGTCATGGGCCAACCGTCTTTGAATGAGGGCTATGGACTTGGTTAGGGCTATGGCTTTTTAGCTATATGTCTTTCCTTTTGGAGGCTTTAAACATGATTGGTTGAGCCAAAGTATGAGTTTGCTAAACAAGTGTTAAACGTCATTGGCCAAGCCAAGAGGTTTCTTTCTGGAACAGGCGCCCACATTGCTTGGTCAACCCTCTTCTTGAATGCCCGATTTTGAGAACCGAGGTTTGGAACAGTGTTTGCTTGAGTTGGTGAGGTAAGGCGTTTCAGGAATGTAGAAAGCTCTGTTATGGAAATGCTGGTCAACCCTTGTCTTACTTGTGTGTGCTTCTTCCTTGGGAGTGTCTACAGTAGCAGGAATTGGACCTTTTTCCCGTGAAGCAAACGAACAAGCAGCTATGGACCTTCTGGTTGAGCAAACCCACAACAACCAAACAAGCAAGCAAGAAAACTATCAAATTACCAAACAAGCAAATAAACCAGCAACAACGAAACAAGCAAAATAAACCAACAACAGCCAAGATAAACCAGCAACAGCCAAACAAACAAATAAACACAGTGTTTCCTTCTTGCCATTCTATCGCTTCCCGCTTGAGGCGGGAGAACCTGGCCTGGCGCCGTATCGGCATCCAGTCCGTGCGAGCGAGGAACAAGCGCATCGATCGGAGCATCAGCAACAGTTCCTTAAAAGCAGGCGGGGGGTCGCTACAAAGACAAGGGCCCAAATTATTAGACTGGGGTTGTCTCACGTCCAGACTTCCTGGATTTCCTGTTTTGTTAAAAAAGTTTGGACTCTTTTAGAGAAGCCACTCAGGAAGTGAACCAGACTACCCCGAACAGCGAGAATGGGCTTCTCGGCGCGTGTCGCTTTGAAACAAGCCCAAAATGGGTGAAGTAAGAAGTAAACACAACATACCTGCTTAGAAAACCGTTTCTGCTTAGCCTCGAAAACGAACATAAAGTAACCGAACGATCTACACAAATGCTGACCTAGTGGTTATACACCCCTCCATTTTGCCCTGGGTGGTGGTTTGGTGGATCTCCTCTTCGAATGGGAGGGACATCGCAACCATGACACCGAAGGACTTTCTTGCGGGAGAGATTTTGGAGATCTTCAATGGTTTCATTTTCCCCATGTTTGCACATGCCTCCCCTTTCTTGAAGGGGGGATGACAAAAGATCCCGATGGGATGCCAGGCTGGAGCACCTGCAACGTGGAATTCGAGGGCAACGCCACCTTGGAGGACCTCGCACCGGTGCCTTGGCCACTGAACGGCGCCTTCGGCACCGTCCGAAGGCGGGCGGACGGGTTTTGCAGCAAGTAGACAGACAAAACATATAGAAATGTGTATGCATGTATATATGGTAGGACCCCCCTCAAGTCAAAAAAAACAAAAACCTTGGTATTGGGAGGGGGTTTTTAGCATATATACATAAATATATGGTACACCCCCGCTTTGCATTGAATCTGGTTCGGTGAGCTTGAGCTGTGTTTGTCCAGTGTTTTATGCCTTTTTGCCTCGCTGATGTTGTGGCAACATTGTGGGGGGGGGGGTTGCCATATGTATACAGATGCATACATATGCTATGTAAGCAAAGATATCAACATCTGCTGTCTGACAGAGTCTGTATCCATCTCAGAGTATTGGGACAACGTTGGATGATTGTGTTATTGTTTTTTCCTTCTTCTTTTTTTACGAATCCGGGATTCAAGATTCAAGATTCAAATCTGAGAAGTTATTTTTGTGCATTTCGAATCTTGAATCCCATATTTAAAGAAAGAAGAAATTCCAGGGGTTCTCGGAAAAGCTTTCCGTGAAATATTTCAATCTCGAATCTTCAGTCCAATGGTACAATACGTTCGAGCTTGTAGAACAACTTGAAAGTTTTTAGGGCTTGACCAGGATGGAAAGTTGTTGTTTGTGCAATCCTCAATATTGAATCCTCAATCCGGTGGTAAAGCACTTTCAAGTGTTAGAAGAACTTGAATGTTGATTGGGTTTGACCAGGATTCACAATTCTCAGGAAAGTTTTCTGTGTCATCTTCAATCTTGAATTGTTCCATCTAGTGGTAAAATACTTTCAAGTGCTTAGCGATCCAGTGGAAACACTTTCAAGTTATTAGTTAGACAAACTGTTCAGTGCTTTTGGTGAGGGATTTGCTTCATGTTAGCTATGCTCATGTTGACCCTTTTCCGGAGGTAAACAAAGTTTGGTGTAATGCTCAAAAGCACTGTATGTTACAGTGTTTTATCAAGAGGCGCAGTTTTGAGCTTGATCACGGATTTGGAAAGGATTTGTTTATTTAAGCTGTAATTGAACATAAAACACATTTTTGAAAACTATGTCCTATCTAAATTCTATTTAACATTCCCTTTCTAGTTAAAGTAAAATCCTATTTGGAAAGGGTATCATATTGGGACATTCGGAGGACTCCGGATTCCAAATTATGAGGCTTTGGGAACCCACAACTGGACATTTCGAGAATTTAAGTCTCGAGATTCTAGATTTGTTCCATCCCCAAAAGGCAGTAAAACCAGGGTCCATGGGGGGGGTTGCATATATATATATATATACACATTGTATTCTGGTCTTGAAAGGTTTTCTTCAGGGATCCTTATATTCCTCCTTCTGGGTGGTATAAATATCACCTTTGGGGCTGGTGTGAGGTGAGTTACTTTGGGTGATGTTTGAAGTGGCCTGAGTTTGGGCCATGCGGCGGAAGCCTTTCTCCCGGTCCTGTGGCCCTGTTCGACTCGTTTCTCGCAGCGAAAAACGAAAAGTACTCCGAAGGTGGGTTCAAAAAAAGTCCCTGGTGATCTCCTGTAGGCTTCTGGCTCACGACTTCGCCAGGCCATTGACCGTTCGACAACACCTCGGAATTCAGGGCAACATCCTTGCCGTGTAGTTTGAGGGTCCTGGCTGGTTTCCTCGGACTCAAGCAGGGTTCTATTTTTCCGGGATTGGCCCAAGGTAAACGCTTTTACCCGTGGTTAATTTTCCCCAAGGAACTGAACAGTCGACCTTGGGCTAGGGTAGCTTTTTGGGGGTTGGTTTCCTTGAAGGAAAACAAAAAGGAGAACTTTTGGAGGAACCCCTCTTTCGTTTGTTATTAAAGGAGATCAAAAGAAGACCAACCATCTTGGTTTTAAATAGTTCGAGAAATACCGATCCCGCTTAGGTGCCGCAGCATCAGCAGAAGCTGCCCTGCCTCATCGAGCGCGCGATGAAGACGGAGCAGCTCGAACTTGTTGCGATTGGTCTTGCTGGCACATATGCAATCTTGCAGCTTTTGCGGGAAAGGGAAGTCTATTTGGCATGTGATCACACACGTCTACCGTTCCTTCTGCCACCCTCCCCAAAATTCACTGAACAATCCTGTTTTGTTTTGGGGGATCCTTTCTGTTTCTCCCAAAAGAACAGGAAACAGGAAGGATTCCCAAAAGAACTGTCAATCTACTGTTCATCCCTGCTTTTTTTGTTCCACCTACCAAAAGACCAGGACACATCGACACATTGCTTTGCGAGCACCTTCGCGTCCGAGGCACCCGGACGCTCCTCCCTGGCTGCCAGTTGCGGTTCTCTATATCTTCGTAGGGGCTGCACCTCGGATGGGATCGACGACTCGTGGAAGTCCTTTTCTAGTTTCATTTTCCGTTTGACTCGGACAATGACGTTGGGACCCTCCCACATTTCCCACACAATTTCCCAACTCTTGGGGAAGCAGTTTTTTGTCTGCTGATGTACTGAGGTGTGCCCATTCCCCCCCACCCCCCCCCCCCGTTGCTGCGCAACAGTTGCAATTTGGAACCATTTGGGGCACACCCAGTACAGACTCACTTTCATCCCTTTGTGGGGGGGATTACAACCATCAGGCTTCCCATTTGGATTCATTTGGGAGTGGGTCAATCTTAAATCACCAGGAATTGGACCGCATATTTTAGCCCATGTTTCTATTTACCAGGGTTCCATTTGGAGTACGCGTGTTTGACCCACAGCCATTTTGGGGAATCGATGGAAACCAGAGATTGCCAGTGGCTTGCATCTGTTGCTTCCACTTGGCCATGGAAGATGGACGCTAGGCCAATGCAATTTCACCCAGCTCCAAGTTGGCGCTGGGAGCGTGCGAGCGTGGACCAACTCAGGGGCCCTTTGGACCTCGCTTAAAGGGGAGACCTTTGTAGGGGTCCCCAGAAAAGGATTAACTTTTTGTCCACATCCTCGTTCTAGGAAACGGTTGGATGCGGTGTTTGTGGAAATACCCCTGTAGGACTTTGACAGAGAAGCGCATCCAAACCGTTTTCGTGACTATGACATTCAAACAGAGCTTGGCACTGGGAGCCGGGATCTGCAGATCGATCCGAGTCCTGCGTTTGGCCATACAGCAAGCTGCTGCAGAGGGATCCCAAGAGCGCCCTATGCTTCAACTTCATCCTGCATGTTGCTCCTTGGCTAGAGGAGGGGAGGGGAGGAGGGGAGGAGAGGGGAGAGGATGGGATGGGAAACCGGGTTGAGATTCTTTGGATCCAGTCGCTATGAGGTTCTCTAGCCTAGCGATTGGGTGTCTTTCCAGCATGGGCGCGCAGCAAGGTGATACTTACCCGATTTCTGCCTCAAGCACGCAGCCTCCTGACGCAGAGGAGCGCTCACATGGGGCTCTGGGCGGAGCTGACTTACTGTGCGTTTCAGCACCACAGGCGCTGGCAAGTAGCCACACAGCTAAATCTCGGAAGCTGTGGTTTTGATTTTATATTTTGTCTTCTCCCATGTAGCCTGGTCGCAGGAGAATACCTCTGAGATACCACGCTCTCATGGCCTTCCTCTGGTGCTTCTTCACCACCACCAAGTCCGACGCCTACTCGCGGCTTCCGACTTCACTTTGCCCCCTGGCCCGAGGCATCCAAGCAATGCCAAGGCTACCGATAGGCTGCACAGGTGATTGCTTCTAAACTTCCTTTGATCAGCCCAGAAATGGCTGTGGGTCAAAACCAACGGTACCATTTTGGGGTAGGTGCATCATCCATTTTACGGGCTTTTGACCCATGGCCAAATGATGACTGATAGTGGACGTACTTCCTACTGAATGTCAACCTGATTGTCCTTTGCCCGATTGTATATCCGCTGTTTGGGTGTTCTTTCCGATGACATTTCCACCTGTTGCAACTAAATTTCCACTGCTCAGGACTTTCTTCAACTCAGTATCCATCCAATTGCTTGTTTTTGTTGCTTTACAATATCCAGCTATTGCCTCTTTATTGCCGTGTCCAACTACATAATCATATAACTTATTTTCTCTCAGACAGCTATGCACTGGTCATGCCTATTTCCAACTAAATATCTATACATGACTAAGTTACCCGGCTAAATTTGCGCTGCACATGACTTGTTCCAACTAAATATCCAGTTGATTGATTGTCCCGTCCAAATATCCACTGCATATGAGTTGCTCCAAGTAAACATCCACCTTATTATCTCATTATCCCCTGCTAGATACTAGATATCTACTACGGATGACACATGCTATCGAATATAAGCTTGATGATGAATTGTTCAATTGCATGTTGCCTGAATTGTTGTGCCGAGCTTGCCATTGATAGATCAGCTCAGGTGTGTTGCTGTCCAACCTCCGGATGCTCCCTGGTTGCAATTGCAATCAAGGAGTTCCACGCAAACCACCAGGTGACGCTGGTTTTTATAACCACTATAGGACCATTATATGAGGGTTAGAGGGTATATGAGGGTTAGAGGGTATATGAGAGTGTTGCACAATCACTGTTCTACCAAACAATGAGAGAGAGGAAGAAAGAGAAGGAGACGACCTGGTCGGCATACTAAGAGGAAACTAACTAGGATTCCCAAAGGTCCACTCATAGAGAGAGAGAGAGAGTGGCAACCAATTGGCATTTTGTTTGGTGTGTTTTAGCAGCCATTGGGAACACCACCATTTATATTGGAATTGGATCCCCCCAATGACTCGCTCTGGCTTTCTTGTTTCTATCTTGGGGCCATTTCTCCCGGGGAGTGAGGTTGGTGGGGCTCATCCTGCAGTTCCTGCTCTTCGGCAAGCGCTACTCCTCCTCCCAGATCTTGGGCGCCGCCATCGTGACGCTTGGAGCCCTGACGAAACGAGCGGAAAAGCAAGCGGCACTAGGGCTCTGAGGTTGGGTCGGTGTTTTGCTTTGAGGCTACCCTGTTTCTGCATACTTTAAAGGGAACTGAAAGAAGTTTAAAGGAGAACCATCATGTTGTTTGGGGGGTATCCCACGCATATATGTTGCCTGCTTGGAATGATCAACACATGGCAGTTTCGCGGCCATGTTGCATGTGTTACATGGTGCAATGCTTGGATGGTTTGCGCAAGGAAGCAATCTGGGGCACGCTGCAGATGAATCGGTCGAGCAAAGCATGATCTCTTATACCAAACACGGCAGCCTTCAAGTTGCTGCACACATGTACAAACAGAAAGAAGGGGGTCTTGGTGTCCTTTTCCAAACTTCATCCACTCATCCTCAAAAAGGTTGCCTATTTCGACCCCCCCCCTTGTGTTCATCAGTTTAGCGAGCTCGCCTGAGGGTACAACAAGGCTACGAAACCAACTGTACCAACGTCACTCCATATCGTATCTATTCAAGGGGTCCTTTTGCAAGAACACTTGTCCAACATCACGGTGCCAGCTGGGGAGCCTCCTGAAGGCTTTGCCGAAATGGCTGGTCGATATGCCCCCCAAAAGAAGCAAGAAATCATAAATATGATGAACATGAAAAACATGTGGATGTTCGGTAGGTTTCCCTTGAAACCAACCTTAAAGCGTACCCTGAAAAAAGACACAGACTCAGTTCCCCGCATGTTTTTTAAATGCGCACATAAGATATAGTGTATACAGGTATACATATATATATATATACATACACATGCATATTCACATACCGACCTGGTTTGGCGAACAAACATTGGGACCGCATCCTATGAAATACCAATGATGATTTACGAGCCACTGCGTGCCATCAGAGGTGCTTAGAACCCTCGCAGACGTTGGCTAGAACTGATCAGCGGCATTGCTAATGAACAACCAATTGCTAGACACTTATCCCCACCCCCAGGAAAAAACAGTTGATTGGAGGAGGGGCATTTCGACTGGAGATCTCTATTTATGGCATCCCATTTCCCTATGAGGAAGACTAGAAAATGGGATTGGGGACCGTGTCCCCCCCTCTTCCTTGAGGTGGCGGGGATCACTAGATGTCTGATTGCCAGGTTCTCTTGAAACGGCCTCCTGTCTAAAAGAGGGTGGTTGGTTGACTGCTTGGGTTGTAGGAGTGCCCCTGACCTGCTTCACTTGACGGCGTAGAAGTGCCCCCCCGCTCACCGCCGAGGAATCGCCTGGGCTGGCAATGCTATGCAGCATGCTGCAGCATCCAAAACGTCCGGTCGTGGTGCTGAAATCAGCCAGGACTTCTTCATTGGATTCTCAGCTGAAGGGATGTGTGGCACCCGCCCTTCAGCCAAAGTACTGCCTGGCTTTGCATGGTAAATAGTATGGCCTATATAAACCTGAACAACAATGTTAGTTGAATCATTTGTCGATGAGTTTTGGGCTCAAGTGAATTCGAATTGTGTCTCGGATTAAAAATCCAAGGGATCCCAGGCATTTTTTCGGGCATCGGTCTGAAGGTTGCGCGCTTAGGAAGCAGCTGTTCAGGGCAACTGCTGAAAAACATAATTTCTCATGGGATATATTTATGCTGCGGTTAACCGGTACCCTGCGCTTAGATCATGTTTAGAGCTGGACAATCCCACTGATGGCGTTCATTGGCGGGGCTTGTCCTCAAGTCACTCCCCGAGTTGTTAGATTTTGATTGTACTTTTTGGGAGGATCATATTAGTGGCGAACGGAAGGTTTGGAATTTGGCTGACCAATCCTTTGAGGAAGCGAGTCACGCACACCTTGGCAAACCCTTGCTTCACATCGAGTTTTTACCTGCGGCTCGCGCACGGCACGCCTGGAGCCCCCAGCAAATCTTGGGGAGCGATGTGACAGTTGGGGTTGCTAGTGTATTTGGAGATCGTCTAAAGGGCAAAGGGCAAGGTTGGGCCACTGGATTTCACGCGTCGAAGTTTCTATTGGCTTGGGGTCAAAGAGCCCCGAAGTTTCAAAGTGTGCGTACCTAGTTGGTCAGATGGTATTCATGGTCCTGAGAACTCGCGCTCGTAAAAGAGGTCCGATAGCAACCCCCCAGCATAGTTGAGACCACAAGTCCTTGCAATTTCGGAGTTTTGAACCCCCGGACCCTCCGCAATCTCAGCTTGCTTTTTGCGGGTCCTTGATGTTTCCCCCAAATGAACTCTGGGATGGTGATTCGAGGACACCATTAGGAAGCCAAACAGGCTTCAGGGGTCCAATTTGGAAGCATACTGCTCGCGTGTGCCCCATCGCAGAGAGTAAGCAAGAAACCTCCTAGCATTTCATCAAGGGCAAAATCAGTCCGGAGGCGACAGTACTCCTTGACTGCTATTGGGTTGGATCTTTAGACTTCAAGTTTTTGGGAAATTAGGGGTTTTCCACAGCCCACAAACAGTTAAAGTTTTTGCAGAGGGGTCAACAGCCACCAAGAATCCGGGCTTCACATTCTGAGAGCCTCGAGAGTTGCTCGCTTCGGAGGTATGATGGAGTGCCTTGTCTCCACCATCGCGTTGGCCTTACAGGCCGCTTGGATCGGGACTACAGGGTTTGTTTGTTTGTTTGTTTGTTTGTTTGTTTGTGTGTTTTGGTTTGTGTGTGTGTGTGTGTTTTGGTTGGTGTTTGTGTTTGCACCTGATGCTGTCTGTGCCTGCGTGTGTGTGCGTGATTGAGTCTTTATCGGTATGACATTTGATAGACGCCTGAATATTCCAAGTAGTGCACCGGGAAGGGGGCCCTTATGATGTATCTGGGGTTTATGCAGACTCAAAAGCAATGATGCGGCTTGGTCTCTAAATAGAGGCAGAACCCGAAAACTCGCGTTTTCCAGCTGGTTTTTGAAAAAGAAGCAGCCCTCCAACGTGACGACCCCCCATGTTTTGCGGGGAAACCTCCGCGGCTTCCATGCGCCGGTTGCGAGATAGGGCTGCACCATCAAGATCACCTTCTCCCGGTTCGGGGAGCATGTGGATGAGCAGGTCTTCTTCACCCACCTCTGCGCCTGGGATCTGGGATCGAGTGGGGGAGTGGGGATTCCACAGCATCGAGCGGGGATTCTTCCAAGGGAATCTCCAAGTGAGAAACGTCATGGGAAAGGAAGAAAGTCCACCACCATGGCATGGTCCCACGTATAGCTGTGTGTGTGTGTGTGCGTGTGTTTTGGGGCTTGGTTCCCTTTGCAAGGCTGTGAAGGCACAATCAATCAGCAAACGCGCAATCTTGGTCCGGGGTTGCCGATTTTGACGCCTTCCCTTCGGAGCATTGGCACCCAGACCTTCCCAGGGACTTTTCTTGGTCCAACTTGAATTTCGTCAGATTATGTGCAGAGCAAAACGGGCACCACAGTTAACCCAAAAACACCAGACTAGACCTCAAGCAACAATATGTTTTTGTTAGCTGGTTGTTTTTGGAGCGCTTTGGGCGTTTTGGGATTAATCATGTGTTGGGGCCCGATGCATAGTTTTGGAAGCCACTTTCACGCAAACCAGCAGATCTTTAGAGCGTTTCGGGGTGCATATCAACGGGATCCATACCAGAGGCAGGAACTCAGAGCTTATGAAAATCAATTAAATGTCCGTGAACCATGAACATGTATCTTGTAATAAAAAACGGCATGACAAGAGGGGGAAGGCGCCATCAAATAATGATGCCTTGAGGTATTTTTTGTGAATGTCTTGATATGTGTTTAGAACTTTTCAGATTGTTTGTGATGTTTGTGTTTATAATGTTTGCTATTTTTCAGAATCTTAACCAATTGCGTTTCACATTTTTCAGAATTTGCGCGATTGTTGTTGTGTTTTCTTCCACTTTTGGGAATGGTTTGGAGCATTTCAAGATGTGTTGTTAGTTTTCAGAATGTTTTGGCATTGTGTGAAGTTTCTGGTGTGTTTTGGCAATCTGGAATAGTGTCTGGAAGGTTTCAGGGGGTGTTCGTGGCAGCTAAGCTAGTAGGCCAAGTGTGACATTGTAGGCAGCCGTAGAGAAGAGGTATCCCTTGCCCAAAAAGGGCAAGGAGGCAAAGAAAGACACGCTCCTGAGGATGTTATTTCCCACCTGGATGACTTCCACCCGTCCAGAGCTACAAGTGTTAGAATGCAAAAGGATGGCAAAGCAGTTGCTTGTTGGCATGTTTCAGAATGAAATGTCATTATTAGGCAGGAACCAGAATGAACTTGCAAGATTTTGCATTATTCTGCAGTTACTTGCATGAATCAATATTCCCAATAACATGCGTGGCTGATATGAGCCCTCCTGGTATGAGACCCTGACTCATTTAATCTAGGCTTCGAGCCGACATGCCGGGTCATGCATATGAAAAAATATGAAGATGATTGGTTTGTGGCTGCGATTTCTGTCAGGGCGCTTAAATCAATTTTGTTTTACCCAAAATTATTCAACTGATGGCTTTCATGAGCAACTCGTCGCAAGCATTTGCAGGGGTGACTGGATGTGTTTTTGCAAAGTTGCCCCCTTTTCTGGTGGTTTCCCTATGGACAGCTCCGACTTTTGGAGGTTCCAAAAAGGGGCAAGCGAGGGCCAAACCCTTGCCCTCGCGGGCTAGGCGCTCTGGTGGTGGTCTTTCCGAGCCAGTGGGACCTGGTAGGACCTCGCCTGGTCAACTGGCCTCTTAGACGCACGCAGTTGACCATTTCATTCCAACGCCTTGTGGTCGGTTTGGGGCTTTTGGGGGTCCCCTGTAAGACTCGACCTGGCTTTAGCTTGTCCCTGGAAAGTCAATCAACAACGTGTGTTTGTTGTCGCCGAGTGTTCAACCCAAAAAACATGGTCTCTGGGCAGGTATAAGAACTGGTATTTGGGCTCGATGGTGCAAGATTGCATGGGGGAGTCGCTTTGTCAATTGCCGACTGCAACGTTTGATTCTTCCCAGAAGGACAATAATATGGGTGTATTTGTTTGCTGGCTGGCCTTTTGGCCGTGCTTAAGGGAAACCAAAAGAAACACCTCATTAGGGTGGTGTCCCCAATTGTCAGAGGACACCTGTATGGGTGTTTCCAAAATGGAATGAATTTGCTCACTTTGTGATTTGTTATGTTCCTGATGTTCAAGGGAACTTATTTTCTGGCTTATCACCGGCATGCATTTCACTTTTGCAGCATGATTTAAGCAGATAGAATATAGCATGGTAGGTGTCCAATGGTTTCCTTGTTCAACCGTCCAAACTCAGTACATCATGTTGCTTCCCAGACAAGCAACCTCAGGTATTTGCCGCTCCTTCTTTTTTTCCCATGCAGCTCATGGGTGAAGTGTAGTGGATTCATCATGTAACAGCAAAGGGGTTGACAAACATATGGCCCGGTTTGGCCTGGTGCTACCTTGGTGCGCCCTTTTGTGGATACGAAACAGGCCCCCAAACTTGGACCCCCCGACCCCCCGCCCCCTCGTTCAAAAAAAGTGAAGACGGCTTCCAAGGGCCCCACTTCTGTGATACAAGGGAATCTCCCCCTTTATATGGGGGGTCAGCCTTTGTATCACCGGAGTTGTCAAATCCCCCACAGCCCTCTTCCTGTCCTTTCAGGTTTTACGAAATGGACCCCGTTCTCCTCGTCCTGCTCCTGTCAGGCGAGATGCCTTTTCGCGCATGCGCATACGCCAAGGATCCAAGCTATCAGTCCCCGTGGGTTTATCTCAAAATAGGGCAACCCTTGAAATGCGGGGGGGGGGGCTTTCTAAAATCCCAAACGGGGACAATCCAAGCATGTAACTTAACAGAACCCCGACATTTTCACTTTGAGCCCTGATGCGTTGATGGCTCCCAGCAAGCCTTGTATTGTATGCACATGAAGCTCAGCCAGGTTTTTCCGGCTTGGGTCCTGGTTTAGGCCCAATTTCGAGATTTGTTCTCAGGGGGTAACCCCCATTGTGGACTTTGCAGCAAGTGTCCTGAGGGATTGCCGCGAATGATCAGTCACTGGTCGAATATCACTATTGGCCTGCCACGAGGGGAGGCATGGAAGATTGCCTCGAATGGTCAATCACTGGTCGAATATCACTATTGGCATGGTGCCCTTGATAGGAACTGTGATTTTCGCTTCTCGTGTCTTGCCTGACAAACCAGACATCATACTTCTTCTGAATGCCAGACAGTTGACCTTGTGATTTGACCAAATCACAAGGTCAACTGCCTGGCAATCAGAAGAAGCATTACGTCAGGCTGCTTGAGTAGAGAGCTCCCCCAGCAACTTTGTGGATGTTTGTCGGGTGAAAAGAAGGATTCGTCAGCCATGTTTGCAGGCATCCCTGAAAAAAGGCACACCCCGCACTTCCAGACTTGGTTGGCCTTTTCAGCCCGAACTTGGACCCCAACAAATGAACAACTGCAGCTGAAAAGTCCAAGTCGTCAAAACATCCGGAGGTGTGGTGCTGAATTTCGCCTCCCGGTCGCTGGGCACCAAACTGGCTGGTCGGGCGCCCAACCTGCTGGCGCCTCGGACAACGAGCTCGCAGAGTCCCGGTAGCCCGGGCTGGGCTGTGGGACCTCACTGCCTGAGTTCCGGTTCGGACTGCAAAAACCGTTTGGGTGGCTGGACCCATGTTGGCGGCAAACAACAAGAGGGTTGGATTTTTTTTCGACCCATCAACTCAGGAAGTGAGGGGAAATTTGGCGGCCAACCAAAAGTTTGGACTTTTTTGAACCAACTCAGGAAGTGAGGGGAGTCCCTCTCTTGTGTTTAGAGTTGGAAGGTGATGGGAGATGGCCTCCACCTTTCTGGAGCTGGAAGTTTACGGCGCGCGGTTTTAACGTGGAGTTCTCGAATCACAGTTGGGGCAATGCCGGGGGCGAAGAGAAGGAGTTGGGCGAGGATTCTGCGTGTAACGGTGGAGGGATCAGAGTAGCACGCTGCTTAGACGTGGGCTTACTGACCGAGTAGTTTCAGGGGGGGTGGCCATCAAATGGCCATCAACTAGGTCACGCCGCCACTAACGGCGCGGAGGAATTCACAAGCCTGGTAAATGCCCAATCAAGATTTCTGGGCGTGAAACATTGGTTCCTGCGAGCAATGATGCGCAGCCATTGGAAATTGTACAAGTACCGCCACAGCTTAGCATGACACAAGGTGGGAGCAACTTCTTCGCGTATTGCCAGCCTTTCGACGATCGCGAGGCAAGGGAACACTCTTGGCAAACTGCAGCGGACAATGGCGCACAGGACTGAACGAATTGTGTGGCCCACGTTATTACCCCGCCCCAGCCCAGCCCACCCAGCCCACCCCAGCCCACCCTGCCTCAAAGTCATCGCAGCGTCGACCGCGCCGGAACAGCGGGAAAGGCGCGGGGTTTAAATAGAAATGTGCAAAATGCTCCGCGCCGTTAGTGGCGGCGTGAGCATCAACTAGTACCGCCAGGAGGCCAACCGTTCTTGGCGGCCCATGTTAGGTAGCCTAAAGGCATCTTAGTGATGGTGAGACAATTCTGTTTCACCGCCCGACCCTATACCCCTGAGGGGCAAACCCCCAACAGGAAGGACATGCTGACGAGTGAGGGGTGGTTCTGATCATTCCCCCGCAAGTATTTGCATTTTATGCTCAGTTGCCCACAGCCGGCCTTTTAACCTTTTGGTTTTCCAATGGTCCATTTTCAGTGACGGCCCCAAAAGCTCAACCTTTTATTTCTGTCTCCTTTGGGCAAGTGATTGGTGGACATAACTCCCCACCGCAATGTTGTCCACCAAAGGGTCCCTAATTAAATCCGTACCCATATATTCGGCATATATAAATATATAAATATATAACAATATATATATATATACAGCATATATATATGTACGTATGTATATATATACACATATGATTGTATACATGTATATGTATACATATATATATATATATATTTCTACCTATATGTATATATAGAACGTGTGAGAACCTTTCAGCCACGAGTGAGCGTGGAGTGAGGTGCTGCAACTGGCCCAGACACTGGACGGCTTCTTCCAGCTGCTTCTTGGGCGGGATGGAGTTTGACCCCTGGGGCAGGGAACTCAAAGGAACCCCCCCGGAATGGTTTGGGGGTGGTTCATATGGTGAGTTCTGGGTAGTGTTTCGGGTGGGTTTCGGGTGGGTTTAGATGGTGGCTTAGTTTGGGGTGGGTTTAGGGTTGCCCTTGATGTGGCTGGTCAACTGGCTTTGCCCTCTCGTGGCAGAATCTTGACCTTTTCTTTGGTTCCTCTTGGTTCATTGGAACCCAACAATTTGTGTGGGTTCCTCCAAGATACCGCCCCAAACCCAATAACCCATAGACCCATAGGGGGCGGTTTATCTTCAACACCTTTGCATTCTTGAGATTTTGCCTTGCGGCCAATGCCAGTCAAGCCATCAAACAGCAGCTTACAATCGCAGACCAAAGACTTGCTGGTGCGATAGGTAGGGAATGAGGGCACAAACTATCCCCTATGGATTCCTTTAAGGGAATCCCCAGGTTCATTCCATTTCTCGTTCCCTACTTATCGCCACCAGCAAGATGAATCAACCCCAGTTTATCAATAGTCCCAAAGTGGTCTGATTCCCCACTAAACCCAGGGACACCCCCCCAAAGAAAAGGAGACTGCATCTATGCCAAGGTGTAAAAAAGGCTCCCATGGCGGGCCGCTCTCAAGACAATCGAGGCTGGTGGCCGCCTTGGTGCGGGTGCCCCCCTGGCCGCCCTCGGGGTTCTGGGGCGGGGCTCTGGTGCTGATGCTCGGCACTTTGCAGTACCTCCGAGCCTCCGGCCGGGCGGCCAAGAGGAGGAAGTGGGCTCGCCAGAGGTGCGAGAGGTGCGAGAGTTCGGGAAGTTGTTTGTGGGAAATGAACCCGGGCTTTGGTCCCCGTAAAGGAGCCGCCAGTTGGATGGTTTATAGGGTCATTCCCTGATGAATGAACCCTGGCTTCAAGGTCCCGACAACAGGAAACCACCACTTGGATGGTTTGCTTGTTTGTTTGTTTTTGGAGGGGAGTCATTCGAGTTCTCGCGCAGCAAGATTGAAATGACTGAAATGTCCGGGATCGAAATGTGGGAATCTCCCCCCAACAACTGCTTTGGCCCATGTGCAAACTGGCACCATGTTGTTTGTTTTAGGTGACCCTGAAACCAGTGCACCATTCCGGCTTCCAAGTCTTTCACCGCCGCGAGGTGCTCCGGCTGAAGAGGACGATGCCATCCCAGCTGCCCGGCAAGTGTTTGAGACTGCCACCACTGCCGCTTTCTGTATTTGGCCATGGGTCAAAAATGGTTGCATTTGCCAAGGTGCCATGTTAGTACATATTTTTGAGCCATAGCCAAATGGCCATGGGTCAAAATCCAAATCGGTTAGCCCCCAGTGAACATCCGATTCAATCCAACCACTGAAATAGGTTCTGAAATGGGTGGTGAATTCACCTGGCTCAAAATGGTACCCTTGGTTTTGACCCACAGCCATTTGGCCAAGGGCCTTCCCTTCAAACTGAAAAAAACAACAGTCATGGGAGCACATCTTCGCGTAAAGGTGGATTCGCCACCATTGGATGTGGATTTCCACCGTGGGATGCCCTGCGCCAAACCCATCTGGGCCAGGCTCAGTTCACGGGTCTGTGATTGGAGCCCGGCGCAGGCCAGCGTTTGGAAGACACCGAACTCGCAGGCGCTTGGGGGCGCTTGGGGGCGCTGGAGAGCTGGGACGGCAAAACGACGTGGTGGCGTGACCCCAAGGACCCCTTAGACCTTATGGAGGTTTCCAGTAAGCCTACAAAGCGTTGCACTTTCTGCTCAGGAAGAGCAACCCAGCTAGTTGTTCAGGGGTGGTCCGCTGGTTACCTCTTATACACGGAATGGAATCATTGGGGAAGATCCTGGTCGCATGTGCGAAGAGCGAGAATGTAAATTTTGAAGTTGCGGCCTTCAAATGATTCTGCCCAGGTAAAATACTCCTTATCTTCAGGCACAAAATGAGAATTGTTTTGGGGGAGTTGCACGGAAACTGGTTGGGGCAAACCCCTCGGCAACAAATGGTTGGTGACATCTGAAACCGCCCTTGTTTTAGGGAATGCAAAATATGCTCCCCCACCCCCCACCCACCCCACCCGCACCCAATACCCCCCAACCCCCACCCCACTCCCACCCCACCCACCCCCCACCCCCAGGCCGCCTGGTCCGTGGCCACGGTGGCAGCGCGCCGCGGGGGGGTGGACGCGGTGCGCCGGGAGAACTTGAATTGGCGGCGCCTGCATTTGACCAAGCTCCAGGCGCCGCGGAGAAACAAAAAACCGAGGCTTGGGGGATGTGTCAAAATACCGAAATACATAATATATATATATATATACACATAATTTGATGATGATAATAATTGTATGAATACGCATGAATATTAGTCAATGAAGCGAGCACTGGGCAAACTGATATATATATATATATATATGTATCTGTATATGTGGTTTCCCTTTGCAGCAACCTTCAGAAGCGAATGACCCACCCTTTTTGGCGGGGCTTTCGGTGGGGCTTGGTTTTTGGGCAGTTTCGGGTGGATGTGTTTTTGGTTATGTTTGGGAAAAGGGAGACGGAACCGATTGGCTTGTTTGGTGTGGTGTATTTTGTTGTCCGACTTGAAGGAGCCCACAAATCGTGGTCCAGTGGCTGCAATCCTGGGGTGTTCGTAATAATTACAGCCAATGTTCATTTGCTTAGAGTGGTTGTTCGTTTCTTTGTGTGGACCCTTTTTCGGAAACGAAACTGGGAGATGGATGGCGTTTTGGCGATCGCTTGCTTGCTTGCTTGCTTGCTTGCTTGCTTGCTTGCTTGCTTGCTTGCTTGCTTGCTTACTTATTTTCTGCTTGCTTGCTTGCAAAGGGACCGATTGCGAGGGACCGCTTGCAGTCCCTCGGATTCGCGGGTGTCGAAAGTGGCCCGCAGAGGTGGGCCGTACCCCCTTGCGTCCGGCCCCATCGATGGACCTTTCAGAGGACTCCAGAAGAATTGCCTTCCGGATTTTTGTTGGAACTCCACAACAAATGAACGGAAGGAACCCAGAAGGAGCTTTTGGCCCCTTTTCGTTTGTGTCCAGTGAACCTCCAAAAGGTGGTTGTTTGTTTGCTCGTGTGGGACACAGAGAGGATGCGGAAATGCTGCCAAAATTCACAGGGAGACAAAACCTTTGCACCGCGAATCGGGCAGTTCAGCAAGCCGCCTTCAGGACCAGGTGCCACCTTTTGGTGGGATCCAAACGGATCGTGTTGTTCAAGTTTTCAGAAGGGTGTCAAGAGCCAAAGCCTTGGAAAGATCTTTCGAGGCCCAAAAAATGACAAGGGCGAACCTAGCCGTCCAATTTGGACGCCAGTGGAACCCAGGCATTTTCAAACCGAAGAGAAACCTATTGGCAAGGAGAACCCCTTCTGTCGGGCAGGGCTTCGTTAAAAGAAAGAAGGGGGAAACAACAACAACCTTTGGGTTGAAGCATCGCCTTTCGGGCGAATGCACAAGAAGGTTCTTGGAATAGGCCCACTTGCCAGGCGCAGACACCTTGACAAGTACGGCCGGGCGAGGTGAGCCTTCGTAGGTGTACTCACGAGATGTGCGGGTATGTCGCATCATGCTTGTTTGTTGAATAGAGTTGGTATGCTAGGTCCCCCAGTAGTGCCCTTTTACCCTTTTTTGCGGGAGGGTTCTACTAAAATAGACTACAGAAAAAAAAGTACCCTTATTCTAACCTCTCTACTGGAGGACCTTGAATGAAAACCAGTCATTTTAGTTCCTTGGAGACCGACCACGCGGGTTGAAAGTTCTCTTGCGCGCCCTCCTTAGGCACCGGAGGTCCGGAGGCGTAGCTTTTGGGATCACCGTGTGGCTTCTTTTGGGACCGCGGAATCGAATCAATATGTAGCGTCTGGGTGTCTTGGCTGCTGGCAAGTGGCTGACAACCAGACTCGATTCAATGCGGGCTTCACCGCAAAAGAGAGGCGCTGGCCAGGATTCCCGGTGATTTGTTGTCAAATCGTTTGTCAAGTGACCTCTGGTAGGGGGCTAGCTAGCGGGCCATTTTGACAGGCATTTGGGGCCTTGGCTATAATTGTACTTTGCACGCTCGCGTCCCCGGATTGAGAAGAGGTGACGCAAGTGCTGCACAGTGCCATTGACACAGATAGGAACATCGAAACACTGGAATATACAGCCTCCCCCCTTCAGCAACAGGATGCAAGAAGTCTGCATAGCAAACAAATGTTCGAAACTGCAAAGTGTACAACATGTCAAATCTTCATGATTGCAATATTACAGCCACACCGCACGATGCTATCATTCGCCACAGAGCCACTATTTCCTAAACAGTTCGATGGGCGGCTTGGTGACTTTCTTAGACTCTGAACTGGTCTCGTGCATGGCATTAGGATGACGGGCCACGCTTTCCGAGCCATGCGCTCGGCGGCTGGGATCCGCCGTGCCGTTCGAGCGCGACGCTTCTCAGATGTGCCAAGGAGTGTGATACGAACTGGGCTCATGGGCCACTGATGTGTTGCAACGTCCAGCACCTGACACAGCTGCATGTTGGACAGCACTTGAGGGGTAGCTGGTATGATGTTAATTGGTGTTCTTTCCAGTTTCAGATTCAGATTGAAGAGGAACCACAATTGAACCAGTTGATGCAACAAACAATTCTTGTTCAACTTTTTACGTTGGCAGTATTGTTCCAATCTGTTTGTCCTGGGTAAGTGTTCAGCCCTCAGGAAAATGACGGCCCATGTTCAACAGGCAGGTTGGCGCCCTAGCAGCATGCTTGTCTCATGTCCATTCCAGTTTCGATTGGATGACCAAACAAGAGGGCCGTTTGAGATCCCTCACATGAATCACGGGAGTTGATGTTGTTTCAAACATTTTGGGGCTCAATTGCCTGGGGTAAAGTAGCGAAGTAGTGGCCTGTTTTTTACTCCTGGTGCATTTAGGTGGTATGATTGGTATGATGAAATTCTCCCCTCCCAACCGTAGTTTTGCCCCCAAACCTTTCGATGGTTGACACCTCGAATCGGAGGAGCGAACCGGAGTCACAAGGTGCAAAGGAGCCTTGGCGGCTCGGCAATCGCTGAGGTGTTGCACAATTCCTGGCTTGCCTTTGGTTTCTGTTTGAACCATTTTTGGGGTGGATGAACATCCATTTGCCACTTATTTTGACGTTCACGAGAAATTCAGGGTTTTGACCCACAGCCATGTCCAGGGTGGTGGGATCACTCGCAGTTTATCCCCACTTCGCTGATACGAGGGAATCCTCTCCTTGTATGGGGGGTTAGTCTTTGGGAGGCCGGTCCAATCACAACTGAGCCACCATCAGATGAAGGCGAGTAGGGGAGAGTCCAAGCCATGAATTGGCGTGGCCGCCCTTCAAATTCTTGGCATGGTTCTGGGTAGACCATTGTAATACCATATTTTCATTGTGACCCGCCTGGGTCAATTTTTTGATTCTTTTGATGTGTTTGAAAGACGTTCCCCGTGCTCATTTTCAAAACTGACATTCCGTTCCCTCAAAGTGGCCGAACATTCAGATTCTCAACACAAAGTTTGGAGATGGTATCCCCGCAACCACCAGATGTCGCTGTCATCTACGCGCAATCTCTGAGCTGCAAAGCCCGCGAAATTTAATAGGCGACAGCACCACCATAGACTCGGACACTCTTTCCTTCCCCAGAAGTAGTTCCCCCTTTTTATGTTTTTGCTTTTTTGGGGATCCCTTTTGTTTTCCACTAATTCCAGCCAAGTTTCATGCTTGAGCTGGGGCCGACTCCTTTTCCAGGTTTTCACTCTGGACCTCTCCAGGAATCATTCGCGGTCCTTTCGTGGATGCGTGTATATCGAGAGCTTGTAGGGAAATCAGCTTGGGCACCAGGGGCTTGGGGATTCCACTGGGTGATGTGTGAAGGTTCATGGGGACAGAGGGGTTGTCCAAGAGGAAAGGTCGTTTTTTTTCCCACACTTTCCAGCTTCCGTTGGAGTTGTTGCCAACTGGGACCGCCCCTGTGATGCTTAGCTTTGTGGGCGGATTAGTTCCCAAAGTAAGAAACTCAGAGGACCACGGGTCTTTTCTTTTGAATAACGTCGCAGGGCCGGGCACGTTTTGAGAGACAGCGATCACAGCAACTGCCCTTTGGGCACCCCTTTGGGCACCCCTTTCTTGGGCACCGGACTCGCCCCCACTTTTGGAGGCTCCACTTTTGACGCCGTGAAGCGCTACATCTGAGTCCGTTGTCAATTTGCAAACCGCGAGGCATGTGTTCACTCCGCGCGGCCTGGCCATCTTGAATACAGCAGGACTGCATGCAGCACTGCGTGCTGTAGGTGGGTTTCACAAGTGCAAACCAAGCTCGCTCAGGGTCCCTTGGCAATCCCTTTGAGTTGGACATATCGAACATGCAGTTGGCACCGCACTGCTTCATTCCACTGGCAACTCTCATGGGAGTGGATCAACAAGTGGGAGAACCCTCAAGGATGGTGCACCCCTCTGGTTGGTGAGCCTAAAGGGGAACCAAAAGGAACTGAAACGTTTTAGACCTGTGAGCCTTTGAGGAATCTCCATGGAGCTGAAGACATGGGCGAAACAATCACTTTGGCCCCAGGCCCAAGGGCTCTAAGATATTTTCCAGGGATTCAGTCACATATTGCTTTGCTCTAAATGTTGTTCTTATGATAAAAACAACATACAACAATACAGTGTTTGTTGACATGTTTTTACAGTGCGGGAAAGGTAGTTCATGGGGGGGGGGGGGGGGGGTGACCATATATATATATATATAATATATATATATATATATTATACACACATGCAGACACCTTTTTTGTGCGTTTATCTGCGTTTGGTTTTCTACCGCAGTCTCCCTTGACTCTCGGTTTTTTGTGCTTTGGGGGTGGGCTTCAGCAGGAAATCTGTGCGCCTTGGCCGCCGCCGCGACGCATGACCACGCGCTGGTGCGGGTGCTCTCGGGCGCCGCGGCGTCTTGTGTGCCTTGGAAGCCAAGGCGACAAGGCGGTGGTGCTTTGGAATTCCTGTTTAGATGGGAAGACACATTCCTGTTTGTTTGGTGTTTGTTGATATGAAAACCATCCATTTGCTATTATTTGAGTATGTTTTTGTTATTATGAATTTCCCCTGTTGGTTTGTAGAGGGAATCTATCACTACTGGAAATATTGTTATTTTGTCCAAGGGGCTTAAGCAAATGGAAGTTTGGAATTCCTGTTTGGATGGGAAACACGAGGAAACACACAAGAACAGGGGTGCGCAGTTTGGAGAATTGCTCCTTTGACTTTGGACTTTGTTGGGACTTGTTGACATACTTTGTCCTTTGTGTCGCTCAAAGCGACATTATTTTGTTATGTGAAGGCTGCTTCGTTATGCAGAAAGGGACATCCCGTAAGAATTAGAGCCATACCAACCTAGCTTCACTGATCAAAATACCTTCACAGGATAATCCTTGTTGACTGTAGTTGAAGTTTCTCCCGTTTGCTTCCGGAAATCATGTATTTTCCTTGTCGACTTTCATGGCGTAAACTGCTTTATGTAAACTGCCCTCAAACATGGTGATTCGGATGTACCCGAAAGCAGAAAGGCGTGCAAGTGGGCCAAAACGCTGAGCCTCGGCCTACGGCCTACGGGGAAAGCTGGGTTGCACTCTGAGACATTTTTTATTTTTGCGGATTTTGCTTCACCCTTTTTGGCACTCAGCGCTGTTTGGCTGCGCCTCCGGAGGGACACAGAGGCCCACATGCACAACGCATAACGAATAAAGGAGCCAATCAAAGCAGATGATAGGCCCCAACTTTCTCAAATACTAGACAAGAATCTTTGAGAAAACTAATCTGCTCTCTTGGTGGCATGTTTGAGGGGAGGGGAGATAGCCGTTGCAGTATTGTGTGTTCCCATGAAGCGACATCAGTTTGTAGTGACCTTTGTCTAATGCTCAGCGCTCCCGTTGCGAAAGCAGGGCAAGGGCACAGAAATGTGAGTGTTGCATTCTTGTCGACGGACGCCTTTCCCCCTAGCAACGTAGAACACTGAGAAGCGCGTTGAACAGATCGACGCGTTTTTTTGCCCAAAAGGGCAGACACGTTTGAGCTCCGCGCGCGGATCTGGCTCTGGCTCAGTGCGCCGCAGCACCACCGTGGGCGGTCCCTGTGGGCTTGCGCTGCGGGTGGCTTGCAACATAGAGACCCTTTTAGCCTCCATAGGTCCACAAGTTGTTTGTCGAGTTTGCTGCCAAAAAACCCAGCTCACTGCGCGCCTTGTCGGAGCTGCAAGACTGGTGTCGGCCTGATGAGGGCTGGGCCACTGTGACGTACGACGTCCCTTGGCAGCATTGCGTCATTCGCATCGCAAGGGGCTGCATTCTTGTTTGTGGAGACGTTTGTCAGGTACGCGCCCCGGTGGCCGTGGAGGCGAGCGACACCTGGCAGCCTGCCGTGGACCCTCGCACTCAGGATTCAGGAGGTGCTCGGGAACGAGCAGCTGCATGCCATGATCGTCATGCTTCAGAAAGCAGCTGCTTGGCGAAGGGGCATTTGATTCTCGCTGGGCCAAACTTTTTGAAGGGCCGCTGTTTGGGGGGCTCAAGATACACACGCACACACACACACGCGACTTGGGGCAACAAAATGGCTAGCTCGTCTTCGCTGGTTACGCAAATGAGACGCGCCGCCGCAGAAGAAGACGCGTGGCCTCGGCCTCTTTCGGAACGTAGGGCGCAGTCACTAGCGCGCGGCCATACAATTGCGCCTGCTTTCCGAAAGGTTTCAGCTGCTCCAAAGCGCTTCTGTTCAGGGCGGACGCGTGCGGCAATAAGCTTCGTTCTTGACGCGTGGGGCAGCTCCTTTTTTTCTTTCTTTGCGCGGTTCATACGCAGGGCCTCCACTGGGCTTGGGCTGTTGGAGCTGGTTGTTTCAGGGTCTTTCGGAAGCAACGCTTGAGCGCCACGCCCCGCCGCTCCCGGGTAAGATCTGGTTGGACTTTCTAGTCCAGGCCTCGAAGTGCGGAGACCAAGGTGTTTTCGTCATCGCGCGTTAGGGAAGCTGTGCCAGAAGCAGTGGGATGAAGCACGTGCCAGCACGGCGCACTCACGTTGCGCTAAGCGCTGCCCTACACAGCAATCTCTAGGAGCACCTCACATCATAGGCTTGGGCCGGGGTTATATATCTCACAAGCAGACGTCGCAGAAAAGAGCGCTGTGCGTTTGCTTCGTTGCACCGACAAGCGCGCCCCTGCGCTGCAAAACAGGAGCAAACCCTACAGCCCAGAAGATCCCCAGAGTTGGTCTCTAACAACAAACCACTTCTGCGGCCCCCCCGAGACCCGGCAGCAAAAATCAGCGCCACCCGTGTCCAACAAGTCTAGTCTAGCGCGAGGAACGCACTTGGGATGAACATCTACACAATGGCAGCAGCGGGCACCTTTTTTTGAGACGCAGCCTGTGCAAGCCAACTCTACAGACATGACAATGGCGCAGCTTAAAGGGATGGTTTCCAAAAGTTGGGTAAGCCCCTCGCAGCTTGGATGGATGCGCTATATATAAGCCCCCGTCAACAATAACGTTTACGCATTACCCAGCTAAGCTTGTCAGTCAGTAGCACGCCGGCAAGCTTCGATAGACCTGCCCCAAGGGAGAAACCTTGCGAGCAAAATGCCTTGCGGTAATACTTCACTTTGAAGCACTTAGCACACTTGGATGCCCTTACTTAGACATCCACTACTCACTAACATGTATTGTGGACATGTCTGAGCCTGGGGGATGCTCATAATTCGCTTGGTGTCAGCTGACGGAGCTTTTCGGAACCCGTAGGCTCATAGGTCAAAGAAGCTGGGCCACGGCCGCTTTACCTCCTTTTTGTAGCTGCCGAGACGCTGAGTGGTCTGGGAGCAGACATCGGTAAGGCAAAGGCTGTGTCGCTAACGGGGGGCGCGCAAGTGTCTTGACAGTTCGGAGTCGGCTTGCTGTCCAGGACTAAGTTTTGTTTGCGGAGTGGCCCTGGTGCGACGCAGTTGTGTTGACTGAGAGTCAAGGCTTCTGCGCATCGAAGCTCTTGCTTGTCATTGCAAGTTTCTGCATTCGTGTTGCTTTTGCTCCGGGCCAACGAAAGCTCAGCGCAGCATGGCGCACACATGGGGCCACGCGTATGCCGACGCGGCTGTCCATGCGTCGGAGGCATGGCTCTTGCAGCAAGGGCAAAGACTTTGCGCAGGAGCTTAAGGCCTGCCTCACAGACAGCCGTCGCGGGGCCTATGGCACGGATGCCTGCCGTTTGCTACGGATTGCTCGGGCATGGATGCCGCTGTCTGGGCGTTGGAGGCGATGTCAGTCAGCTTCATTCAACACAGGGGGTCTGATATTGGCTGCGGAATCAGTTCCAGTTGTCTGGTTTCGGTTGTTTGTCGGACTGACACTGGTACTGAAAGTAAAGATCAGAGAAGCAAAGAAGCACCAGCGACTGATGGACTCCATGGCGTCGCCAATTCGGGCTTTGGTAGAACAATGTGGCGAGGGCTTGTGATGCCTGTTTTGTCTTGTGACACAGCACGCGATGCATCTAAGGACGCATGGCGCGCCTTGATGGCGATGTTTGCCGCCGTGACCTAGATGCTCTGCCTCAGCTTTAGCGCGGCGGCTATGCAGCCGGCTTCCCATGTCAGTCGTTTTCGCCCGCTGAGTCTTGCCTGAGACGCAGCTGGTGAAATTCACAGGCGGGTCCCTTTCTGATTTTTGCCTTTGTTGACGCACGAACTTTCCCATGTATCCGCCATGGACTGCGTTGATGTTGGTGTGTTTCCACTGCTCATACCATTGTTGAACCATCATTTCGCAGCTTAGCGCCAGGTCCAGGAAACCAGCAGCCCAAGGCCAGCGGAGGGCTTTCCTTCGGCTGAGCTTTTCTTCAGTGAGTTTGGGTCAGGTGTCGGCTCATCGAGCAACAGCTATCGCTGCCGTGCTTGAGCCATTAGGCGTTCGTTTTTTTGTCGAAGGACGTGTTTGGGAGTCATGTTTTTCAACTGCAAGCACACGTTTGTGCACGAACGCATGGCTGGCTGCCCGCAGGTTCACACTTTCATTTTTGCTTATCACTGGTAGCGTTGGATCTATAGAGCGCGGGCGACGTGCACGGGTGGTGTCAGCAATGCACACGAGGTCAGAATAGGTGTGGCCCTAGCCATGTGTATTCCAAAGTATGCCGTGTTGGACACAATCGATGCAAAGCTGCCACAGTGGGCCGTTCTCGAGAACGTGGTGGGATGTGTGTCCTGGGTCAACGAAATCAAAGGGCTGATGAAAGGAAGTTGCGAGGGCAGTACCACCTTGTAGCGGTGCCTCGGTCGCATGTTGCATTTGTTCATGCCATTTTGTTGGACAGGGTACGACGACACCAACTGTAACTGGAAAAACCGCAAGCTTCCAATCTATGTTGGAGAGCTCGCATTTTCTGTGCTTGGCAAGGCCGCGCGGTTTTGGGCCTTTGCTCCTGAGGTGCAGTTCTGTTCTTCAGATTTTCTTGAGCCTGTTCGACGTCCACGCGTTTGGTTTCTTTTACTTGCTGCGGGGCGCGCTGTGGCGGAGGACGCAGAAGGCATGGCGGGGATGGCATCTGCAATCTTCTCTAGCGTGCTCGCTGCAGCAGCACATTCATGACTGCGTGCAAGACAGCCAGTTCGGGCGGACGCCCAACGCACGAGAGAAAGAAGTCTTGAAGGCGCAGGCAGGCCTTGTAGCTGCCCATCTGAAAAAGAAGACTCTCACAGTGGATGTTTCGCAAAGCAAGGAGTGGGCAAGGTCTGGCGTCGATATGTTTCCAACGTGGGCTAGGTCGAGCTGCATGTGCATGGTGAGGCCTGAGCGTTGACCAGGCAAAGGTCTAGTGCTTGGCTGCGTCTTTAGGCTTGATGTACCGGGATGGCCTGCTGCCAGTCGCACGCAGCTTTGCCAGCCTGAGGTTCTGCACGCCTTTCCGCCAACCCTGCAAC